TCACCCACTACACCAAAATCGAAACCCTCAAAGCACCAATACGAACACATCAATCAAGGGAAAACACAAGCCAAAGCCAAAGGAGCCAGTAACCAGAGAATGGAAGAAGGTGGTCATGCATCAAAGCTAGAGTCAGAGCTAGAGCTCTACACACTTTTCGCTATAGTAGAATAGTTTAGAGGATAGGAACGGGTGTGGGCCACCATGGGAGCACAAATGGGTGGATGTAATTGAGATTCCAACGCATGGCCCGTCTTCGAATCTCTGGAACAAACTCAAACATTCCTGCACCAAAGTTCCACCTGATAATTTTCATAGCATCTACGTAGATGGTATCCTCAATAGTCGGGTGGAAACCTATCGCAAATTTTCCACACTGATCTAGAGGCCTCAAAGAAACATCATCATAATAGGAGAATCCAACTCGAAGAAGGGAGCTTTGTCGACCACCAAACGCCATTTCAAATTATCATCGCCTGCATCCAACTCCCAGACACTCAAATGATTACCAAGCACAAACTCGGTCACCCGCAAATGCCCTCGACATGCACCAAGAACCCGATACATCCGAAGGCAACTTCCTCGCACTTCAGACGACATATCAAGAGGTTCCAGACTGAACCGACATTTGTCAACAATAATATGATCGCCATCACCATCACCATTACTAGTACTGATATTACTGATACCTTGGAAGGGATCCAACTCCAGAATATAGGAGGATTCATCATCGGAACCTGAAAAATACAACTTCCCATTGCAAGCAACGCCAGCAGTTATGATATCAAAATAATCTCGTAGGCCACATACCACATTAGCGGACTCTCTCCATTCACCGGTCTCAGAAAAGAAGATGTCCACATAGAACTCCTGACGTAGTCGCACAACCCTCCACCTATATTCAGCATTGATGGAAACATCATCATCGAAGGAGGAAGATGAGTTGTAGTTGTAGTAGGGATCACAAATGAACCCTACGCTTACCCAATTATGGATTCGAGGAGGGGGAGGAAGAGCAACCCATTTCTTGGTGTATGGATTGCAAATGTAATAATCACGTTGATCAAGTTCGCTTGGGCAGCACAAAACTAAGTCGTTGCACGCCCCTACCACAAATAATTTTTGTTCTGCTGCGGCTTCTGAAATAACAGGTAGCTGCAAACTCATCAGACCATCCTCGATCATCAGACCATCCTCGTTTTCCACCCGAAAGAATGTTCCATTGTCTACAACTACAGTACCTAAAATGGGCGTTTTCAAATCACGTTGGCGACGTACATATTGCCCAACAAAATGAGAACTAGAGATGAGTTCACACCAACGCTTGGACACGCACTTGCATTGAAAAACAAACTTGATACAAGAAAGTCGACAAATGATTTCAACCAATAAAACCTCTGGGAGATCATCAATACTATCATTCATTATCATTTTATTTATGAGTCAAACCCAGCACCATTAACAACAAATTCGATGTCAAGATGATTAAATAACTGACTCTGAGCCCCACATATCATCAAACAAACACTAACTAGAAAATAGGGAACGTACCCTACTTTTGTGGTCATATAGATCCCGAATTTTTTATATTTTCATCCATTTTATTGTATTTTATTTTAAAACTGTAGAAATTATCACTCACTCTTTGGTTGGCAGCCACAGATCAATAATTAACCAAAATTAGCCTTGGTTCTCCAAGTTCGAATGTAATTCATCCATCCATTTAGAGGTGTCAAATGGTCGGACCGGCCCCACAAGGCATGAGCTCATCCCGTTTAAATAGAAAATTGAGTTGTAGCCACTGTTTTCCTAGCCACCTCATCTGAATGGTGGCCATTGCTGATGTAATAGCCACACACTTACTGTTAATCTGTGGCACCAAACACATGGCCCGGTATATTTGTGGCTGAAAAACAACCAGCCACGGATGCTGAGTCAAAACAGTACTTATTTTGGGATATTGATGTAAACTATATGGGCTGCGTATATTAAAAGACTAACCTTTAAGAGTGTCAGAAACTTTGGATCTTAAATGTCTTGTTGTAAAACCTTTAGATAATCTTCGATTTGACACTCTTAGAAAGTCTTTAGATATTTGTTCTTTTGAATAATTGTATGCATGCCAAAAGACTCCGGCTATTCTCTTCTCTGTTTTTGTAACATAAATTGGATTAAATTCTAAGTACTTTGTTCAGCACGTGCAGGGATTGATAAGCTATATCAATCCTACTAACGTTTGGAAGTTTTTGCTGATCTTAGATTGGATTTTTGGCGTTGGATCACCTTGGGCAAATTAATATTGGCGTTGGATCCTTTAATAAGCTATTGTTCTAGATGGAGTTTTGAATGCCTTTGTGCTTGTCTAATTTGTCCTAATTGTATATATAACCTTGTGCAATGCTTTCATTGATCACTAAACTGTATCCAAGAAACTAACTGCTATCATTCTACAACCGAATAGATACTGAGTCTAATATACTGTTATAAAAAACATTGTGTCTTGTAGCATGCAAAGTAATCTTGCATTATGACATGAACTCAGACTGTAATATCGAAATAGGATTTGTTGTGCAACCACCAAACCAAACATATAATCAGACATCAACTTCAGAGAGTCTTAGCAATATTCTTCTGTAAATAGGATTTATACCCATTCACCTATGTACAATTTCCTTAGTGATTTCCTTCTTGCTGTCCAATAAGCTGCCTGTATCCAGTGAGCTTCCTTGTTATCTAGGCCTTAAAACTTGTTTTTGTATTTTCAATCTGTCTAGTGCATGTTCTTCATTGGATCAATATCAACTAGTATCTCATATACAAAACAAACTACCAATTCTAAAGATTATTGAGTACCTTCATGCAATACAAACCTCTAGTTAAAATCAGTAGTCCTCTATCTGTCTTTTCATTGCACAATCCTGAAGTAAACCTTCTAACATCATGTAAACTTGAATTGCTTCTTGTCAAAAGATGCTACATAAAAGTCTTCAATGTTAACCAATCTGGGCATGTCTTAGTAGCTTCGACAGATTTCATAAGTTGACAATGACTCGGAAGCTGTCGATTGGTGCTGCCGACAGTTTGTGGAAGTCACAATCAGAATGTACAATTTCCAATATTTTATACTTGAAACGAGTAATACGCAGTACCATTTTTCTTTATCAATGCCTCAATACCTCCCACTAAGTCTCATATTCTTGTATAAATATGAACAAAATATCTACAGCATCTTGAACTTTACTTTAATCTTTAACCACTGTTCTTAAAACTCTCCTCCCCTTTCTTGAATGAAAACACCTATAAATAACATAAATTTCCTTATTTCTTTATTCAAGAAAGTAGAGTTTTAACTTTCATTCGGTGCAGGTGTAGGTCAAAGATGACTACCAAAATTATGAAAAGGTCCAGTGAGCTATGACTATGTTGGTTGCTATGTGAAACTTTTGTCCACCAATTTTCTTGTTCCACCTTTCGAATTTCCTTGGTTCTGTGAACTCACTGAAGAGTTTTACACCTCCTGAGTTAATACCAATAATTCTGAGACTCGTTCCTCTCACTACTACATTTCACTATTTGCGCGACGAAGACAAATTCGTCGCGCAAACAAACTTTGCGCGACAAAACATACTACGCATAGCGCAAAATTGATCGACGACAAAATTTCGTCGCGCAAAAAGACTTAGCGCGACAAAAATATATATCGTCGCAACAAGGTAGGGAAAAAACCCGGGAACCTTTTTTTGGGCGCTAAAGCGTTACGCGACAACAAATGTCGTCACAAAAGATTGCTTTACGCGACAAAAGTTAATGGCGTCGCGCAAAAAAAAACAGGAAGAAAACGCAGGTTTTAGTTTTTGGCTCCAAATTCTTGCGCAATGAGATAAGTTATTTTGTCGCGCTTACTCTTTGACAACGAATAATTTTCGTCGCATTAAAAAACTTTCCAACATCTTGCGCGATGACATATTTAGCGACGACAAGATGACTTGGTGCGACGAATATTTGAGAGACGAAAAATATTCTTATCATCGCGCAAAAATCGATGTCAGCAAAACCATGCGCGACGAAATGATTAATATTGTGCGACGAAATGATTAATTGCGCGACGAATTTCCCACGATGATGAAATTTTTTTTGTCCCGCAAATTGTTATGCTTTTGCGCGACGACTATTTTGTTTTAGCCATTGCAGGGGCAAACTGCAAAAAAAATTGCAGCTTGCCTCTCCCTCTCTCTCAAACGATTTCAGCAAACTTCCCTCTTCAAGTTCATTTCGTGTATGAGTTGAACTGCCTTTGCTTCTGCTGCGTTCTGTGGGTATGTATTTTTTGTCGTTAGTGTAAAAGTTTTATTGTAAATTTATACTGACACCATTAATTTCGTTGTCTATAGGGATATTATATGTGATTAGCGAATACTGGAGAATGATTGATAAGGTATTTTTGTCGTTTTATAATTTAAAAATATAAAATTAATTACATTATGCTTAAATTGTTTTGTGAAATTATATTTATATTATGTTGTTAAATTTATGCACGTTGATGTACGAAGTTAATTGAAATTAACTTTGTACATTTTTTTAAAGTCAAACTTAGTTTCCCGTTCGAGGTTAGTTGGATTTCTCGCATGGATGCTAAAGCGTGACTGCGGTCCAATTAATTCTTGAATTGTCCCATTATTTGGACAGTTTGGGAATGCATAGTCGTGTCACGTAATTTACGACTACAAGATTAGGTTTCGATTGTGGAGATTTCGATGTCATCTCGATACGTTCTTCGGGTGGTACGTAGGTATTTTATACCTACGGTACACCTCAAGAACTGTGTCGAGATGCTGCCGAAATTCATCCACGTCGAAATCTAATCTCATGTAGCCGTAAATTATGTGATATGACTATGCATTCCCGAATGGGATAGGGCCCTTACCGGAGGCATAAGGTGACATTATGATTTTGTACGAATACAACATGATTGTTGTATTGTGATTGTGGTTCCAGGAATTATGAGTAGGAGGTGGATACAAAACCCGAAGAGGTGTGCAGATGAATATTTGGATGGAATCGAGGATTTTATTGCCTTTGCACGGGCACACAACCCGGGTGCAACTAGAATCCGTTGTCCTTATCGGAGGTGTAACAACACGTTGTGGGAGACAATTGAAAATGTTCAATTTCATTTGATAAGGAATGGAATGATTAAGACATATAGCACTTGGACCTATCACGGGGAACAATTAGACATTGCTTCGTCTTCAAGGGCCACAAGAGTGGAGAATGTTGAACCTATTGTGGATCATAATGAACAAGTCATGGATATTCTAAATGATGCTTTTCCATTTGCATCGACAAGTAGCAATCAGGAGGGGGAAGATGACGTGCCTACATCAATGGACAGTGCAGACTTCGAACAGTATGAAAAACTGTTACAAAATTCCAACCAAGATTTATACCCGAGGTGCGATAACTTTTTTGTTCTCACGGCCACTGTGGAGCTAATGTACAGAAAAATAAAGTATCGTATGTCGAACCTGTGTTTCGATTACTTTTTAGAGGTTTTTAAGAGAATGCTTCTGACGGACAATTGTTTGCCGAAAGACCACCGACAGGCACAGAAGGTGTTGAATGGTCTTGGATTGGGTTATGAAAAAATTCATGCTTGCAAAACAATTGCATGTTATTCTACAAAGAGTATGAAACATTGGATACATGCCCTATATGCAATGAGTCGAGGTTCAAAACAACATCTCAGAATAGAATGACTAAGATTCCACAAAAAGTCATGTGTTATCTGCCCTTGAAATCTAGGTTGCAGCGATTGTATATGTCGACGCATACTGCCACATATATGAGATGGCATAATGAAAAACGGGTAGATGACGATGTGATGCGGCATCCTGCAAATGGGGAAGCATGGAAAGAGTTCGATCGAACGTTCCCTAAGTTTGCTGCTGATCCCCGAAATGTTAGATTGAGACTTGCCACTGACGGATTCAATCCGTACGGGGTTCTAAACCAACACCATAGCACTTGGCCGATTTTTGTATTCCCATATAATTTGCCTCCTTGGAAGTGCATGAAAAAGGAATATATGATGATGACTGTTTTGATAACTGAGGATCCCGGCAGGTCAATCGATGTTTACTTACGGCCGTTGGTTGATGAGCTCAAGGATTTATGGACAAACAGTGTGCGTACGTATAATAAATCCACTGGGAAGATGTTCACTTTGCGGGCAACAGTTATGTGGACTGTGAATGATTTTTCCGCATATGCAATGGTTTCTGGATAGAGCACGAAGGGTTATATGGCATGCCCTATATGCAAGGAAGATGTGACTTCTAGTTGCGCCAGAAAAGTTTGTTACCTTGGTCGTCGGAGATGGTTGCCATGGGACCACGGGTGGCGGGAAAAGGATAAAGAGTTCGACGGGAAGAAAGAGCATGGCCTTAGACCTAGAGAGTGGTCCGGGGATGAGATCTTAGAACAGCTTAACCGTTTGGATTTTGCTCCATTCGGGAAAACAGTTAGTTGGACCAGACAGACCTACTACACATATGAATTGGACGCACAAGCCTATGTTTTTTGAACTTCCATATTGGTCAAAACTAACTTTGAGGCACAATCTCGATGTTATGCATGTTGAGAAAAATGTCCTTGACACATTAATGGGCACAATTCTAGATATCGAGGGGAAGACAAAGGACACGATCAAAGCTCGTCTGGATTTGGAAAAAATGGGCATACGAAGGGGTTTGTGGATGAAAAGGGACAGTCATAAAGCCAGAAGGGATCTTGCATTTTTTTCCATGAAACCGAATGACAAAAAAGAGTTTCTCAAGTTTGTATCGACTGTAAAATTTCCTGATGGGTATGCTTCTAATATCGCACGTTGCGTGAATGTTGACGAGGGTAGATTTACTGGACTAAAGAGCCATGACTGCCATGTCTTTATGCAACGCCTCCTTCCTTGGGGATTCGACACTTATTGCCGGATGATGTAGTCAAGCCAATCGTATTGTTATCCAGATTTTTTTCCCAACTGTCGGCAAAAACGTTGCGAAGGACAGACGTTAATTAGTTGCGCCATGACATTGTCCAAGTCCTATGCAAGTTTGAGATGATATTCCCTTCAGCTTTCTTCACAAGTATGATTCATGTGATGGTTCACTTGCCAGAAGAGGCATTGCTTGCTGGTCCAGTCAACTACCACTGGATGTATCCAATAGAAAGATATATAATCATTCCATATTTGTGTATGCATAATTATCATATGCTTGCTACTTGCTAATTTGCATCGTATCGGTTTATTTTCTCAGGCTTCTCGGAGAGCTGAAAAAAAGCGTACGCAACAAAGCGAAGCCCGAATGATCAATTATAGAGGCTTGGGTTCAATACGAGGCACTTAATTTATGTGGAATGTATTTAAAAGATGTGGACACGGCTTTCAATCGTCCTCAGCGCAAGAATGACGGAGGTGTGAGAAATGCGAAACTTTCTGTTTTTGGCCAAAGCGCACGACCCTTTGGAGAGCCTGTACGAGGAGAGGCGTTTTCCAAAAATGACATGGAGGTGGCCCATTGGTTCGTACTGAACAATTGTGATGAGATAATCCGGTACTTTTGGATGAGCATGAAGAGATGATGAAGTGAGAACATCCATCACAATTGTATTCCAAGAAACACCATGAATTGTTTCCACTATGGTTTTTGGAATATGTAAGTTATAAGTGTTTTGTATTTGACATATATATTGTAGTATTTATGCTTCTCAAACTAACATGTGAATTTTTTTGTATAATATTAGGTGAATAAGTTGAAATCAGAGAATTCCCACATTTACAGTGAAGAGTTATATAACTTGGCATTTGGCCCAATTAGCACTGAATTATTCTCGGGTTGCAATGTTAACGGCATCAAATTTTTGGGGACTACAAGAGATGACAAGTTGTGTACGCAAAACAGCGGTGTCCATGTCCCAGGTGGAGGTGAAAGTACGGACATTGATTTCTATGGCAAACTCACAACTGTCGTGCAATTGCTTTACAAGGACCGATACCAAGTAATCATGTTTAAGTGTCGATGGTTTGATACGAACCCGAATAGGTAGGGAAATGTTAAAATCGACCATGGGTTACTATCTGTGAACATGAACAGAACTTGGTATGATGACGACCCTTACATTTTGGCAAACATGGCAAAATAGATTGTTTATCTAGATGACCCTAAAGCCGGACACGGTTGGAAAGTTGTTCAGCAGATGGATCAGAGGAATGTGTATGCTATACCAAAACTAGACCCATCTGACAATGACGTCGACGTTGTTGACCAACATTTGGAATCTTCCATGAAAAATGTTGCACAAACACTTCTAGATTCAAATGTTATACAAGAACCGTTTCAGCTTCAAGGAGTGTCTTCAAGAGAAATACCGATTCATTCAATTACAATTGACCTCGGTGATCTTCCACAATACGATCCAACCGTGGGCCCAAACTGTAACACCCCGACTCTATTTAAAAGGTTAAAATTAAATTAACTGTGAAATTACGAAACTACCCTTGGGGTAGGGTATTTTGGTCATTTTCTTGTCCGGGAGGATTTTGGGACCACAAGTGGTTTAGTTGTGTAAGTGGTTCTGAGATGAATTCGTAGACAGGCGGTAGGTTTGAATCGGAGTTATAACGAAGTGTTGGCGATGAAATTTCTTCCGATGGCAAAATCGTAAATAAGTCGAAAAGGTATTTGTAAAAAAAAATCAGATTTTTCCATTTTCAGTTCACTTTCCTCTCTCTCTCTCTCTCTCCCGCGAACTCTCTCTCGTCACTGTTCACCCGAACAGAATTCTCCACGCCGCCATCACCTCCGGCCACCCTAGCCCCCGAGACCGGTTCCGTTCGACTCGTAGTGAAGTCCCGGACCTGACCCACCCAAAATCCCGATCGTAAAGTTCGAGAACCGCCGACCGTTGCGACTGGTTCGAATCGGAGGTTTTCCGATCGTTGCACCACCGCTTCAGTCATCCTTTTCCGGTGTGAAAGGTGAGTTTTCTCCTTCGTTTTATCTGTTCTAGCTGCCTGTTGCTTAGGATTGAAACGATTTTGAGGTTTTGGAAGTGATTTTCGAAGTAGGGTTTTGGCCGGTTTTCAATTCGAAATTCCGGCCAGTTCCCGGTGGTTTTGGGCTTCGCCGTAGTTGAATGAAGTGCTCCCCTAGTTGAGTAGGACCTGTAGCCGGGAGGATGACTTGTGATTTGGAGATTTTCCGTCGCCGGAATTTCTCTGCACACCCGCTTGCTGCCGGCGCGTGTGGCGGCGCGTGGGCAAGTGTGGTGGAGCTGCAAACTGTTCCAATATGATCTTTACGTTGTCACAAGCACATAGGATTTCGCGGATCTCAATTCCGAGGTCGTTTGACTATCGAACGAATTATCGCATATTGTGCGTTATTCAGGTTCGATATGTTCTGACCGTTGGATCGTTTTCCAATTTAAGTATGTTCCTCGGGATAACTGTAAGATCGTGTAGGATTCGACAGATCGTAAAACGGAGTCCCGGATACTCCGGAAATGCCAACCCTAGGGTGAGGGTTTCAGTAACCGTCCAATTGTGCGATCGTGAGCGGTCTAACCGTCCGTTTCGGACCAAACCTACAGGACGTGTATCCTAGACCTCGTAAAACCTATAGGAACTCCCGGGAAGCTAGGGTTTTATTTCAAAGTTCTGTTTTGAAGTGCTTGATATTCATCGCATTTTCGTATTCTGAATCAGGTACTCCGACCCAGCATACGCAGCAGGCGGGACCCTCTAAGGGTCAAGCTGTGTGGGACTACTTGTGAGTGGACTTTTCTTTTTAAACTCAGTATGATTTTATGCATAGAACTATTGCATATTGTTTTATTATGTCGAGTAATTATTTATATATGCTCGAATGGGAATTCGAGGTTTTCATAAAACTTACATTGATATTTGAATTTTGAAAAGTTATATTTACATGCGGCTATGCATGGGGTACTTGGTGGTTAATATGAACTATGGAAAGGTAATGTTGGATCTATTATTTGGAGTGCGTTAAGCACTAATTTATGTACCTCCCCTGATCTGAATTTGGTTACGATGAGAACTCAGGGCATCCTTGAGGGGATGTTGCTGTGGACCCTGGATTTGGGGTAGTCTGCGCGCGTAGGACTGGTATTTCAGGCGTACAAGCTTTGACTGTGTCGGTTGTATGTGCTGGCTGAGAGTTAGTCCCCCGGTTGGACGGCTCGCTCCCTAGACACATGGTGAATTGAGGAATGGCTCTGCCATGTGGCCTAGTCAAACAGTCCCCCGGTTGGATTGTTTCCAATTAAATATTGGTTATCTTTATATACTATTATTATTATTATTATTATTATTATTATTATTATTATTATTATTATTATGTTATCTCATATTATTATTATTATTATGTATGTATATGATATATATTTATTTATATGACTGTTCCTTCGTTCTATTTTTCGGTAAGGATACTTCCTCGCCGGTCGTACTTTTGAGTACGTTTACGAGAGTCTAATCTCTCGGGACTCTTAAGTTGAGTGGTGGTGTTCGTGAAGCATTATTCACGGATTACGGATTTGAGATCCGGTATATATATGTTCGTGTATGTTTATATACCTTTTTCTGATGGTTGTTATGCTTATGGTTTCATTGTATGTTTTTTTATAAAGGTGGGGGTTATACTACTTTGATTTCTTTTGAACTGAACTTGATTTTTGTCCACTCACAACTTTCTATTTTGCGCCCCCAGCCAGTAGCGACTGAGCTTTGCAATTGAGCCGGACCGGGTGCATCTTGGAACTCGAGTCTTCGTAAAGACTCTTGGTGCTTTGTTTTTCCTTTCAGTTAAACAGTACTTCGGTTGTATTTTGAATTCCTTAGTTATGCTCTGTATCGCCCACTGAGGGTTTAATTTTGTGAGGCCGGAGGCCTTTGTTGTAACATGTTTTGTTGCTTGTAAAGCATGTTGCCAGTTGGTTGTAATTAACTGTAAATTTTGAACAGGTTGAAGTTTGGGAATGTTCAATTTACAGGGGAGACTCTGCCAAATTTTTGGTAGAAAGTCTCAGTCTTTACTAAGTGGGCCCGGCCTTAGGTTGATGTCGGTAATTAGGCGGGGTCCGTCCCGGATTCCGAGGAAATTCGGGGCGGGTCTTGTCACAAACAACGACGATGATGTACTTATGGAGGACGAGGAGGATGAAGAGGAGGAGGAGGAGGATTGGGAGACTGGAAGTGATGATAGCGACGGTAACGAAGATTATTATAGTTCAGATGATGAATAATGTAATTTATTTGCGACCTGCCATGTAAATAATGTAATTTATTTGCGACTTTCCATGATAGCGACGGTATATCGTTTTATTTTCTCATTCTACAAATCGTAAGCTTCTCAATGATTTTAGTTAAATATTTCATACCATTTTAATTTAATTACGACACAAAAACGAGCTATACATTCATTTAAATCCTATAAATACAAGAGCTTTCCATTACCTTCATTTAAATCCTAGTCATGACGTTTTTGGCAATAATTTCTTTTACTTTTTTATATATATAAAAAAAAGTTGGTTTTACACATTCCATACTTATCTTAATATAACATACCTACAATGTAGTATGATAAGCCGGTGAATGAACTCTACCTACAATCTAGTATAATCATTCTTCTATACTTATCTTAATATAACATACAATTACCATAATCTTAATGTAACTCTAATGCAACCTACAGATTCCATAATCCTAATGTAACGTACACATTATGTAACGCTAATGTAATCCATTAATTAGGTTGAACTATTTTCATACTACAATGAATCCAATATAAGTAAATAAAGTAATAACATTTACTCAGCTATGCACACTCATCCTAATATAAAATTGTCAATAATGGATAATGAATACGTAACATGTGAAAAGTAGTTTATAATATATTTTTCATAAAGTCTTGAAAAATAAATAAAGGGAAAAAAGAACATTAGACTTAACAAATAAAAACGCATAAAGAAAAAAAAATTTCACCCTCCGTCCGAATTTTTTCCATTTCTCCATCCTTAAAATCTTGACTAATATAGGTTTACAAGTTTTTGCGCGACGAAGACGTGCACCTATTCGTCGCGCAAAAGTCGTTCATTATTTGAAAAATAAAAGTCCTGTGTTTACACTTTGCGCGACGAAGAAGAGGACCTTTTCGTCGCGCAAACCCGTGTTTACACTTTGCGCGACGAAGAAGAGCACCTCTTCGTCGCTCACTTTGCGCGACGACGAAGGGCACCTCTTCGTCGCTCAACACTCGGGCATATCTCAGATAACAAAGTCTTGGGGTTTACACTTTGCGCGACGAAGAAGTTCACCTATTCGTCGCGCAAAAATCGTTCATTATTTGGAAGAATAAAATTCTCGTGTTTACACTTTGCGCAACGAAGAAGGGCACCTTTTCGTCGCGCACACCCGAACACTTTGTGTGACGAAAAAGGGTCCTCTTCTTCGCGCAACAATCAGGGATATTTAGGAGAATAAAAAGTCAAGTGTTTGCACTTTGCGCGACGAAGATGGGCACCTGTTCGTTGCGCAAACCCATGTTTACACCTTGCGTGACGAAGAGAACTCTTTTCGTCGCGTAAAGTTTTAGTATTTATATATGATATATTATATATTGTTTTTATGGCATACGCATTCTACGAAACGAGTCTCAACGATCCAACCGTGAGACGTGTTTGTATATGCTACTAGATCATATACCTCAAAAATCGCAAAAAATAAAAACATTCATAGACCTACAAACAACACAAAACTTTTCAATGGTTATAAACGACAAATCACGAGTTAACGGTTATTTTAACTCCGATTGCGATGATTTTTTACAGGTACACTCTGTCACCCTATATGAATACAATGACTGAATCTGATCTTCAATTTCAAAGGTTTACACTGGTGAATACGACACAATCTTACGTTAAATTAAACGAAAGTATAAATAAACTCTTCATTGTTAGATAATGTATTGTTTTGATGACATATGCATTATACGAAACTAGTTTCAACGATCCAACCGTCAAACGTGTTTGTACGTACTGTGAGATCGTATACCCCAAAAATCGAAACAAACAAACATTCGGACATCTAGTAACATAACAAAACTTTTTAACGGTGATAAAAGAAACACCTTGCGCGACGCATACTGTTGTCGCGCAATGAGGTTTTGCGCGACGGAAAGATTTTTTTGTCGCACAAAATTCTGACAGAAGCATTTTTTCGTCGCGCAAATATATTAAATTATTGTTTAGGGTTTAGGGTTCCTGGGTTTTGGGGACTTTGCGCGACACATGAAGATGTTTTTGTCGCGCAGGTTCAGAAAATATTGGCGGTTTTAATCCCACTTATAGAAAACTCTTTGCTCAACGGATTAATATATTTTTTTCGTGCAAGGTTATAATTTTTAACTTTGCGCAACGCCAGAACTTTTTACGTCGCAAAAGCTTTTGTCAAACGCATTAATTCATCGCGCAATGTTAGCATATTAGGGTTTTCTGATCCTCGTTTTGGGCGACGCCATATTTTTCATCGCTCAACGTGGTGAAATTTTGGCGGTCCAGCTCCCGCTAATTATAGTATCGAACCAGCGCGACGGATAATTTTGTTTTCGTCGCGCAAAGTGAAATTTTTTTGTTTGCGCTATGTAAATTTTTCATCGCGCAAGTTAAAAAAAAGCTTACGCGACGCCTTTTTTCGTCGTCGCGCAAACTTCCCAATTTTTTTTTTCTGAAAAACGCGACACTTTCCCTCTCCGTCTTTATTCGTCCGTCCTTTTGCAGCCTCCATACCTCCGCCCGGCCCTCCAAACTTCGACGCCTCCCAAGCCTCCATAAGTCGACGTCGCCGCTCTCTCGCTTCCTTTCCCCCTCTCTGACCCCAAATTCATTCCCGCTCTCTCCAACCCAAAGCCCCCATTGCCAGTCACACCACCGCTTCCCTCACAGCTGAGTCTGTACTGTCTGTAACGTCCCATAATTTTTTTTTTTTTTTTTTTTTTTTTTTTTTTTTTTTTTTTTTTAATTTTTATATTTCGGGTTTATTTTGTTTTCTGTTTGAATTTATGTGAATGATTTAGTTCAGTGTTGAAATTGCTTAGTGCTGATGCTTGGTTTTTTTTGGTTGTGGTTTTTAATATATTCGGGTGATTTTTTTTTCTGTTTGAATTTATGTATTTATTTACTTAAGTGTTGAAATTGCTTAGTCTGATTATGCTTGGTTAGGGTTTAATTTTGTATTTTTTTGTTAGGGTTTTATTTTGTTTTTTTTTCAATTTTAAATATATTCGGGTGATTTTTTTTTTTTTTTGAATTTATGTATTTATTTAGTTAAGTTTTGAAATTGCTTAGTCTAATGCTTGGTTAGGGTATTTTGTATTTTTTGTTAGGGTTTTATTTTGTATTTTTTTTTCAATTTTAAATATTTTTTTTTTTTTTTTTTTTTTTTTTTTTTTTTTTGAATTTATGTATTTATTTTGTTAACTGTTGAGATTGCTTAGTCTGATGGTTGGTTTAGGGTTTTATGTTTCAATTGAAAAAATTGAGAGTGAAAGTTATTGTGGTGGTTTGAATTATGTGTTTCAATGTGATTTTTTTGCTGTTTTCACATGCTGTTTTAGTTTTGGTGTTTGAATTATTGTAGCATTTTTTTGAGTTGGGGGAAGAGAGATGAGAGAGTGAGTTATTGGTTTTTGGTGATTGAATATATATTGAATTTGTTATTCATTAGTTATTGAGGTTTTTATTTTTAATTTTTTAAATAATTTTTTGGCCAAGGAGGTTTTAACTTTGAATGCTTGTTCAGTTTTGCATATGTCAGACATTATCAGAAGTTGTAAGGCGGTGACGACTGCATCGAGTTTGCCTCCCCCGGCTACGACGTCAGCTGCCACTACTCCAGCACAGGTGCACGCCATAGCGGTTTGTCCCCGGGTCTCCCATGCACCGGCGTCATCAGAGTCGTCAGTGGCGCAGCCTGTTAGCGCCAGGCGGCGTCACCGCCCCCCCAGCATGACCGACACCACTTCGACCTCCGCTGCTGGTGCGTCGGAGTCACAACCAGGTAAATATTTCCTTCAACTCCGGCTGTTTCATACCAAGATTTTAGTACGATTTGTTATTTAACGTTACATTTATATTTCTTTGCAGCCAAGAAGCACACCCGGGGACCTTGTCGCCAGTTGAAGACCGCAAAGGTTACCCGGGTGATCAACAGTCGTATCAACATCGAATACGACGAGCGGCATCGGGCTGCACCAACAGCGGACCAGCATAGCTCATTGGCCCACGACATTGGTCACATCGTTTGGACCCATTGCCCGATGAAATGGAAGTCTTGGAAGGCCATGCCTGACGAGGTGCGGATAACGGTGCGGTCCAACTGTCGGTATGTTTCTTACTTTTGAATTGTTTTCCCTTCACATTTTATATATTTTTAATACTTCATGTATGTAATGAATTTATTGCAGATGAACTACAATTTGGAGGACCTTGACGACGAGATGTTGGCATACATCAATAGACTCTTTACTGAGAGGCATAAGCAGTGGAAGAGCGACCTGCACCACCATTTTCAGACATATGATAATCAGCAGGTTGCTCTTTAGGAGGGTTGCCCGAAGGAGCTTGAGGGGCTGGAAGATAGTTGGGAGTGGCTCTGCGGTCATTTTCAGGAGGCCGATTTTTGGTAATTTCTTATCGCTAGTTGATAATTATTACATGTTTTTTACTAATGTTTGTTTAATTTTTAAAATTTCATTTAAATTTCAACTAATACGTTTTTTTATTTATCATAGAAGCAGGCCAAAGCAAATAAGGGCAATAGGGCGAAGAAGACTCCTCTCCACCATTCATGTTCCAGGCCCTTTTCATAAAGGATGGAGGAGCGACGATGGGTAATAATAAAGCTGTTTTTTTATTTAATTTTTAATATATTATTAATAATATTACTTGGTTTTTTTCATGCAAACATTTTTTTGGAATTGTTCAATTCAGGGGGGGTCCAAATTCCTCGAGATTGAAGTCTTTGGCGACGTTTAGGTTCGCCCTGGGAATGAGTTGACTGAGTCCCTTCATATAAGTAGTCTTTAATCTTAATTATGATATTACACATTCAAGTTTCATAGCTATTATATGAATATTTTAATTAATTTTTTATGTTATGTTAAACAGACAACGATGATGGAGAAGAGCCAGTCGGTTTTTCAGGAGTCCGCCTCCCAGCTTCCTCCCAATACGCCGCTTGAGTCTGTGGATCCTCCACATGATGCAGGGTTACAGATACTGACGAAAACCTTGGATCAGACTCTCGGGAGGCGCCCAGGGACATATTCTCCTTAGCACGACAAAAACTTTCGTCTCGCGAAAGTTAAGCACACGATCAAAAGCAGTTGTCGCACATAAAATCTCGTCGCACAATCCCATGTGAGACGAATCGCGCGACGGGTCCTTGTCGTCGCACAGAATTTATGACACCAACCCGTTCCGTCGCACAGGCTGGGTCGCGCAATATCTTGTGAGACGCAATGCGCGATGGCCAGTTTTCATTACGCAAACGTTTACGACACTAACTCCTTTCGTCAAGCATCATTTTCGCCAACGCAAACGTTTTTGTCACGCATATTATTCTGAGCTCAAGGGCTCTATCCTTAAATAGTTTGCGCGACGAACGCATCCGTCGCTATATTTTGCGCAACGAATGGAAAAAATTAGTCGCGCAAAGTCTATCTTCACGATCTTTACGCGACGGTATATGCGCGACGAAATGATTCTTTGTGCGACGAAAGTGCCTGCGTCGCGCAAAGTGGAAAATGTAGTAGTGTCTCCATTACTTATTGCATTCTCATATTTCTTTCGTGTGATCCTCTTATTTTACTTCAAACATACTTAGTCTATTGCAATTTGTCCATAGTAGTGCTTCTTTTCTTGTTGATTCTGTAAGAGAGAGAAATACCAATATGTGTAGTTGGCTTGAACAGTTTCTTCTGAGTTCTAAAACACCAGTCTTGTTAAAACATCTTTGATCATTTGGTAAAACAAAACTTCTCATTTATGTCTGTGTTAAGTATTCCTTTACTGTTTTTTCTGCAGTAAACTCAAAACTTTTCCTTTTAGTCCCTTAAATACTTCTCTTTTGTGTGCCCGTAACTTTTCCCAATATGAACTACCTGTTGGCAAAACAATATAAAATATTATTATAATTCTCAACAAAATTGTAGCCATAAAATATACAACAAAACAAGCACAAATGTGTAGAAATACTGACAACTTTAGCGATTGAGGCTTGCAAGAATTGCAATTAATGCCCTAAAGACATATTTCGCCCCTGCCCTTGTGCTCGCAATTCTATAGGCGTTTATCTCTCAGGATTCAACAATCAATAATCCTATATTGAAGCACTTCAATTTAAGTTTCTGACAAACCAATTATATATTTGTACTCTCAAGACATTTAGGAAAGAAACTTGAAGATTATACTCTAACATAGCATGAGTGGAGAAAAATTCCATATCAAAACTCCTTTGGAATGTCATATAGCTTAGGTTTGTATAGAACCCAAGTGACTTTTTGGATTAGCAATGGTGGCTGTTCACTAATTGACGCCACCCATGCAAAAGGGAAGATGCAACTTCTCTGATTGAATTGCATCAAGTTTGTATGCTATGCGATTTTTCATATTTTAACATAATAACTGTTTTCATTCACACATTAAAATTAAATATTATAATATATAATTTCCAACACTACCAATATGAAATTGTTTAGTCAATGAAAACTTTTCCCTTTCAATCATTCTGGAGGCTTTATAAAAGTCTTTGTATTCTTGCTTTTATGAGTGCCAAATTGTCAAAAGTTTTCTTTACTAATGACCACTTTCACTGTTTGTGATAATGCTATTTAGAAACTTGCAGTTGAATTGATATGCCAAAATCAAAACTTTGTCTACCAAACTCTATTGCTGAATATCGAAACAGACTTATCAAACTCCAAGTTGAAGTTTGATTTTACAATCCTATTGAATGATTCTGACTTCCTTGCTATGGAAAGAATGCAAACTACATAAACTAGCTCAAAAGGAAAACAAAACCAACTGAAATAATAGCTACTTAATGCATATTTGATCTATGATCATTTTTCTCCTTGCTTGGTGGCATCTGGTTTATCAGTTCCTTTACCCTTATTCTTTTCCAGCCATTTCTTATATCTTCTGCATAATCTCTTCATGTGCCCAAATTTCTTGCAAAAGAAACAATTATGTTAGAAAATGATTTCCCTTGATTCAAATATGTTTACAATGTACAGCTATATAGGAGATTTGTTTGACTGTTACACAAAGTTATAAACAACATTAAAGACTATAATTACAAAGAATCAAAACTGATTGTGTAACAAGATCAGTTTTGATTCTCAATCAAACTGATCTTCAGTTACACTTTTTGATTGTGTTCACCCGTTTTAGATTTGTTCATGTGATGGTAGGGTAAAGTTCCCCATTGTCTTGAAAACCATTGACTGGTCAAAAAGTCAACTTTCTTTCTCAATCAAACTGATATTCAGTTACACTTTTTGATTGTGTTCACCCGTTTTAGATTTGTTCATGTGATGGTAGGGTAAAGTTCCCCATTGTCTTGAAAACCATTAACTGGTCAAAAAGTCAACTTTCTTTTGTGTGCGAGCGTGCTACTGCTAGCAATAAAGACCCTAGCAGACTTCTTAAAAATAGATAACTTGCGCCCCAAGTTACTAATTTCTAAACAAACGATTGTGAATTTGGGTCAGGAATATCTTCCCAAGTAAGTTCTTTTCTTTACCTCAGACTAGTGAGGACTTCACAATTTTTCACAGTACAAAACTAGTAGTTCTGGCTAGAATAAATGACAAGAAAGTAAACTGTTTCAGGTTGAACTGCCTTTTACAAGACTTAGAAAGGGAAAGACCAATCTAAAAAAGACAAAAAGAGCATTGGACTTCAATTTTTGCCTGGATAGCTACTTTTGATCCGAGCTGGATTGGATGTGTCTGTGTTGGATTGGACTATCAACACCTTCAACTATCAAGTTTCAGCTGTAAATCGATACCAACGTTCGAGTTTGGCAGAGCTTTAATCTATTTCAAGCCCTGGAAGGCTCTTTGAATGGGCATAATTGGAAGCTCTTCAGTCTGGAAGGGGCAGAAGTGGCTGAATTTGGTGATTACTGAGCTGGAACTGCACTGTAGTACCTGTTCTGCTTGATCAAGGCTCTTCATAAATTTGTTGAGGTTTTCATATTTGTAAAAATCGAACTTTGCTTAATTTGGCTTATGCTGAACCAAATTTGTAACGAGAGAAATCTCGCTTTGAATGACTATTTCTCTGAAACTGAATTGAAGTTAGAGATTCTGGATTATGGCTTACTTGTTTTTCTGTGGCTCAATGAGCTTTTGGTTGCTTTGGTGCTTTGAAGGTTTTTGAGATCAAGTGATCATTTTGAGTTTTTGTCTTTGATTGATTTTTTGGCTGTCGTTTGATATGTTCACCTTCTCTCAAATTAATAGGAAATGCTGGAGTGAGATTTCTAATCTTTTAATAATGGGCGGCAGATTTCCTAAAGACAAGATCTTTTATTTTATATGTCAAGGAAAAGAGGATTTTTATCTATTCTGTCAAAAAGCTATCAACATTCAGTTCTTTCTCTGTTTTTTTGAAAGAAAGCCTAATCCCTTTTCAACTTCTAATTGCTCTTTGCAAGGGTTCAACCTGCCGTGATGGTTAGTTTGATTTTCCAGATGAACAACTCCATGCACCATACTTATCTCTTTAGAAAATGTAGTATGCTTATCCCTTGGAAATAATGCTTGTCTTGTTGTAGAATTATATAGAAAGGGATTTTGATCTTCTTTTGACTAAAAAGACAAGAGACATCTGCCTGTTTAAGACCTGCCTTCATTAATTCCCTGTCAATTCTCTTGTGACTAGTTTAAAATTTTGACTTTTTCAAAGTCAGGTAGTCACGTGGGGGCTTTTTTGTGAAAAAATATCAGCTGTTTTTGCCTTTTTTGGGATAGAGACCAAGTGGGGAGATTTTCTCAGAAGCTGGGCTTTTATCCAAAACTGTGTGTATCGGTTTTCAATTGCCAATAATGGTATTTTATTCCTTCCAGATCATGGCTACATTCGTAATTTTCTCAAAAAAGGTCTGGGCTTTTCCAGTGTCTTGGTTTTCTTCTTCTGATTTCTATAGATGAAAGTCCAAATGTTTTTGGTTCATGGGCCTCTCGATGAAAATGGGCTGGCGTGAATAATTTTGGCCCAAATTGATTGAGAAACTGATTGTGTAACTGAAAATCAGTTTTGATTAAGAAGAGGAAATCTCTCTAACAACTTCAATCCAACAGGTTTTCCTTCCACATGTTTTCTTGCTTTCCCTGCGGCTGTATAGGTTTTTCCATATGATTTTGGCTTTCCTTTTTATATCATGTATTGCGTTGACATGGTTTTGTTCCCTCTCTTTCTTGTTGTCTTATTGCTATTGCACACAAATACCTATCAGATCATTCATAGTCCACATCTCCTTTTGAGCAATGTAAGTGCTATTGAGAAGTTTGAAAATACTCGGCAGAGAGTTGATTGCAAAATACACCATCATAGCTTCATCTACATTCACATCCAGGGATCTTAACCTGTTTCCAATGTCGAGCATTTTTGCTATGTGAACCCTGACACAACCTTCCCCATCATATTTCAAATCTTTCAATTGACCCATCAAGTTTCCTATCTCAGATTTCTTAGATTCTTGAAAGTTTTCTCAAATTCCCTTAAGGAAAGCATTAGCATTGTCAAATGAATAAATGACACCTCTCACAAAGGGTGAGATTGATCTTGTCATAATGAGAATGGCCATTCTGTTTGCCTTGTTCCATTTGGCATATTTGGCTCATGGGCCTCTCGATGAGGCATTAGCAGCTAGTTGTTGTGGCGTGGATCTTCTTTTAATACCATCTTAAAGACTAGCAATCCTAGAGCAATTTCCAAATCCTCTCTCCATTTGGTTTAGTTGGAGCCAGTGAGTGTTTTGATTGAATTATTGTTAACTGTAAATATGTAAAATATAAAATATGATGTCTATCCCCATTTTTTGTACATTATCAATTCACACCTATGGGTTGAGAATTGAACATGTTTTAGTAATCACCAAAACACATGACGCATGAATTTCTTTTTTATGGATTCATTTCTCACATCTGTAGACAGAAAGAAATCTCCATGAATTCATATACCTCATGTTTTGCATCAAACCACAGTAGATTTCCGTAAACAAGACTACCAATATATGTGGACAGAAAGTTTTTCCTCATTTACATCGATCTTCTGTGCAATCTTGATCAGTTTCCTTTGAATACAAGATTCCTTAATTAACTATGATGTTGTGGCTCGCTCTAGTTAATACATAATTTCTTGAAACCTTGATCTTTAGCCTTCAAGCATGGATAACAAAAATCATAAATTTGAAAACATGCTTAACAGATCTACATAAATAGAAAAGTGAAAAAGTAAAACCATGCTTCATTCAATTTTCAGCATGGTATGCGGCGGATTATTTTCTTTTGTTTCAATCGTTTTATGTTATTGTTAAAACATGCTTAGATCAACTTCTTTTTAGGTTTTAAAACATGCAACCTAAGCTCTGATACCACAGTAAACTATATAGGTTGCATATATTAAAACACTAACTTTGATCGTAACCAAGTACTTCTACTCAGAATGATCCTTTAAGCTATTATTCTAGATGGGGTTTTGAATGCCTTTTTGCTAGTATGATCGTCCGAGCAGGGACTTGATATTTATATGCATTGGCTCAAGATTCCTAGCCCATCAAGGAATACAAGAGCTATCCTAATTGCACTGGTATAAGGTGTTCTAATCGATTACACATAAGGAATATATTGGAACAAGGATTTCTATAAAACACAACTTCCCTTAAAACCAAAACACCAATTCTAATCAAGTTCTTAATGAATACAAAGACCTAGATCTCCTATGATGATTAGAAGACCACATTAAAGTGTTTTAAGACATAAAATATCTAACAATTGATCCATGTACAGAATTCTATTGCTATGCTTCATCGGGACTGAAGAAGATAATTGGACAGAGGAACCTTCAGAGCCTAACCAAATGGTGTTGGCGTGAGTCAACGTTCCTATTAGGAATAGAATTTCTGTTTTATTGTAATTATCTAATTTGAGTAGAATTAGGAGATTTTGTACATATTTCCTATTTGTAACCACTATGTATGTAGTATATATATTCCTCCTTGAGAGAAGAATAAATATATCAGTTTTAAACCCTAATTATTTTGAGTTGGTATCAGAGCGGGTTTCGATCCGTCTCTACAATATCAAAACCCTAATCCTAAAAATACCTATTTCTGCTGCACCTAGCCTATACACCTAAGCATGTGCTGTCTTATATCTCTTACTGTTGTCGTCGTCACCTTTTTTTTTGTTGCCGCCGTTATCTATCACCATGTCAGATGTCACTGACTCTTCTTCTTCTACTCCTATTGTGACGGTCCATACCGAATCGTCGACCAACCTACCTATGGGATTCAAATTGAATGGATCCAACTATGAGATATGGGCTTCGATGATCGAACTCCATGCTACTACACAAGGCAAATTGAGTTACCTGACTGGCGACATTAATGCCCCTGATTCCAAAGACCCGAAATTTGGGAAGTGGAAAAGTGCTGATGCTGTTGTGAAAAGTTGGATGCTGCGAACTATGGAACCCAATTTGTTGAATATGTTTCATACTCTAACTACTGCTAAGGAAATTTGGGATGCTGTTAATAAGATGTTTTATGATGGCTCTAACATATCCCAGCTCTGTGAACTGCGATGCCAGGCTACCCGTCTTAAGCAAGAAGGTCGTCCTGTCTCTACCTATTTTGCCGAACTTAAGGCAATCTGGCTTGAATTGGACAAGAGACGTCCTTTTCAGATGAAGTGTGTTGATGATATGAAGACTTTTCAGGCTGCTGTTATGGCAGATCGTGTGTATGATTTTTGGCTAGCCTTGATGATACTTATGACAATGTCCGAAGTGATATTCTACGAAGTGATAAAGTTCCAAGTATCGAAAATGTATTTTTTATGGTTCGTTGCGAGGCTCAATGCCAGATTACTATGCTTGGATCCGGCACCAAGATTGGGGAACCTACTGTTGTGTTTGCTTCCAAAAACACTGCTTTGGTTTCTCAGCGTACAGGGTCTGGCTCTTCTGCTGTTCCGCCTCGTCGCCTGACTTCTGCAGAAAAAGACAAACTGAAGTGTGATCACTATGGTGAAAAGAGACATACTATCGACACCTGCTGAGCATTACATGGGGTACCAGATTGGGCGAAAGAGCAGAGTCATTTAAAAAACGAACAACTAGACAGCAAAGCTCATGTGGCTGTTGCCCCCACTTTTGTGGATGACATCACCACTAGGCAAGACCACGTTACTGCTACTCCTCCGACTTTGACTGCCATCTTAAGCACTCTAACACCTCCGCCTCCAGGTAACTTTGGCAAGGCTTTCCATGCCCATGATACCCGAGATACAGGTTGGATTATTGATTCAGGAGCTACTGACCATATGACGTATAATTCTGCTTTATTCTCTACTACTCTTCCGCCTTATCGTGATCATGTTCTGACTGCTAATAATGTTGCTGCTCCTGCCACGGGGGTTGGTTCTATACTCTTGACACCAGCTTTACCATTGGACAAAGTGTTACTGGTTCTATCTTTTTCTAGTAATTTATTATCTGTACCGCAAGTTACTGAGCAGTTAAACTGCGTTGTACTGATGTATCCGTCTTTTGTCTTACTATAGGATATCTAGACTCGGGAGATCTTTGGTCGTGGTACTAAAAAGGGGGGCTTTATTATGTGTATGATGTGGCAACTAGTCAGGTTCTTCGTGCTGGTAGCGCCAAAAATTCTCAGCATCACCGAATTTGGTTGCTACATTACCGATTTGGTCATGCCTCATTTGGATATTTACGACATTTGTTTCCTGCATTATTTAGTGCTGTCAACGAGTCTGATTTCCAATGTCAGACTTGTATTTTAGCTAAGAGTCATCGGGTATCCTACCCTTCAAGTTGTAATAAACGGCTTATGCCATTTGATTTAGTTCATTCTGATGTTTGGGGACCTTCCCCGATTTCTACAGCCTTGGGAGTTCATTGGTTTCTATTAGATGATTCAGACTCAATTTATGCTCCCTATCAAGGTTTTTCGATCTGATAATGGTGGAGAATTTGTTAATTCGGAGTTATCCCATTTTTTTCACACTAAGGGAGTACTCCATGAGACTACTTGCCCTCAAACACCACAACAGAATGGGGTTGCTGAACGTAAAAATGGGCAGATCCTTGTTGCTGCCCGTGCTCTGCTGCTTGGTGCATCAGTTCCAAAGCGGTTCTGGATGGATGCTGTTACCTATGCAGTCTATCTCTTGAATCGTCTACCGTCACGAGTTTTGGATTTCTAAACTCCTATGCAGGTACTGACCCATCATGTCTCTGCCTCTTCTATGTTGACTCTGTCTCCAAAGGTGTTTGGTTGTATCGTCTATGTTCACCTCCATCAGAATCAGAGGAGTATGCTGGACCAAGTGCTCTCCGTTGTGTCTTTCTGGGTTTCTCTTCTTATCAGAAAGGTTACTGATGCTATCATCCTGCAACCTGACGTCTATATGTCTCTATGGATGTTACCTTTGTTGAGGATGAAATGTTCTTCTCTGATACACCCAAGCATGTCCTTCAAGGGGAGACTAGTAGTGAAGGACATAGCTGGCTAGATTTACAAGGGGGAGTAGTATTAGATAGTTTGATACAAAGGGAAGAACCGACCGAACCTGCTGAACTTGCTACACCGGCAGAACCTGCTACACTAGCTGAACCTGCTATTTTAACTGATGTCACTACTGTCACTGAATCGATTGCCCCTCATGAAGCTTCTCTAATAGTACCCGATCAAGCTCCCCTGGATATTCCTGAGATAAGTGCTTCTACTCATACTTCTGATAATTCTTATGTTTTACCGCCTAGACAGAACCATGGGGTTCCACCTGATCGTTACTCACCAAAAGGCAAAGCGAGATATGCTATTGCCCATTATGTGTCTAATCACAGGTTATCTCCTGAGTGCAAAGCATTTATGACCAGAATGGATAATATTAAAATTCCAACTCATGTTGAAGAAGCATTTAATGATCCAAAGTGGGCTAAAGCCATGAATATTGAAATGGAAGCGTTGCAAAAAAATAATACATGGGACATTGTTGATCTACCAAAGGGAATGAAGCCTGTAGGATGCAGATGGGTGTTTATAGTTAAATATAATGCAGATGGTACTGTGGAGAGGTACAAGGCAAGATTAGTAGCTAAAGGATTCACTCAGACATATGGAGTTAATTATCATGATACTTTTGCACCTGTGGCTAAGATGAATATGTCAGAGTTTTGTTGTCCTTAGCAGTAAACTTGGATTGGACCCTGAGGCAATTTGACGTAAAAAATGCATTCTTACATGGAGAACTAGAAGAAGAAGGTACATGAGTCTTCCACCAGGGTATAGGGTTACCGGTGAAACGGGGAACGTGTGCAAATTGAAAAAGGCGTTGTGCGGTTTAAAGCAGTCTCCTCGGGCATGGTTCGGCAGATTTACCACAGCTATGAAGAAGTTTGGTTACCGACAGGCTAATACTGATCGTACTCTATTCATTAAACATAGGGCTGGTAAGGTGACTTTGTTGATTATTTTTGTTGATGATATGATTGTGACTGGTGATGATACTGTAAAAATTGAGGAACTGCAGAAACGTTTAGCATCTGAATTTGAGATGAAAGATTTGGGCAGTCTGAAATATTTTCTAGGAGTGGAAGTCACTCGATCTAAACATGGCTTATTTCTTTCACAAAGTAAGTATGTCATGGACCTGCTAGCAGATACTGGAATGCTTGACTGTAAACCAGATGATACACCTATTGTTGAGAATCATAAACTTGGTGTTTATGTGGATCAAGTCCCAACTAACAGAGAAAGATATCAAAGGTTAGTTGGGAGATTGATTTATTTATCATTGACACGCCCTGATATTGCCTATGATGTAAGCGTTGCTAGCTAATTTATGCATTCACCTAGTGAGGATCATATGGCTGTTGTGATGCGTATTCTGAGTTATTTAAAGTCTGCTCCTGTGAGAGGTTTATTATTTAAGAAAAATGGTCACTTGGATCTGGAAGGTTACACTGACGCAGATTATGTCGGGAATATTACAAATAGACGTTCTACATCAGGTTACTTCACCTTTGTTGGTGGTAACCTAGTTACGTGGCGTAGCAAGAAGCAAAACGTTGTGTCTCAGTCCTCCGTAGAGTCTGAGTATAGAGGGATTGCCCAATGGGTTTGTGAAATACTGTGGTTGAGGTGGTTACTTGCTAAAATTGGGTTTAGACCGAATGCTGCTACAAAGCTCCACTATGATAATCAGTCTGCATTTGAAATTGCTAACAATCCGGTGCAACATGATCGAACTAAGCATGTAGAAGTTGATCAGCATTTCATTAAGGAGAAGCTGGAGCATAAGTTAATTTCTATACCTTTTGTGCCTTCTTCAGAGTATCTTGCAGATATGTTGACCCATGCTATGTCAAAGAGCCGATTTGAAGACTCACTTGACAAGTTGGGCATTACCGATATCTATGCACCAACTTAAGGGGGAGTGTTGGCGTGAGTCAACGTTCCTATTAGGAATAGAATTTCTGTTTTATTGTAATTATCTAATTTTAGTAGAATTAGGAGATTTTGTACATATTTCCTATTTGTAACCACTCTGTATGTAGTATATATATTCCTCCTTGAGAGAAGAATAAATATATCAGTTTTAAACCCTAATTATTTTGAGTAATGGATGGAATGGCTTCTGTTTGTACATATGTGAATTGGTGCAGTATAGAAACTGGTTTTCTCTATTCACATTCCGTCTGTGGTTTACTTTTGGCTCACTTGACAATGTTTCAGGGCTGTTCAACTGTACACACTCCTATGGCACGCATGGTTATATTTTTTTACACATGTATAGCAAATTTTATCCATGGAAGCATCTTGATAAGCACTTACGTCATCAACCACAATCAATCAACCTTCTTTAAAGGGTTTCGAGAGAGAGGAGCTAGCGAATTCAGAACCAGCTAAATGCTATTGAAGCCCGTCTTAATGGGACTGTCTTGAATCCGTTGCAGCCTCTTCTTGCAGTGGCCGGCAGGCATAGATAACATTCAATCTATTGACATATGGCCTTATTCATCAAGGCTTTGAAATAAGCTGCTAGGCCACAGGATGACGCAACCGCAGAAAATGTCCATAACATTCAATCTATTGACATATGCTTCAGTAATAATTATAGTATTGTGTTGTGTATGTATATAAACATTGATGCAGGCATTGCGAAGGGTATATATTTTTAAGAGTAATAATGAAATTAGAATATTACATTGGATATGGTATTATATGGTTTAATAATAATAATGTGGTATTTTTGTAATGAATAATGCTACTCTTGCCACATTTGTATATTACATTCTCATACAAGTTTTTATCAAAAATAGAGAAAATTTACTCCTCATTTTCATAAATGTTAGTTTTTATAAAAACTTTCAAAAGTAGTCAAACAGTCACCTAAAAAGACTCAAATGCCCTTAGAACTAAAATCTACTTAAACCTAAAAAGACAAACAAATTGCGGAACGGACATCTATTATAAATAATAATAATAATTAGAGTATTACAAGTAAATAAAAGATATTGAGGAAGCTGCAGATTTTAAAAGTTAGTTCTTAACAGAGAATAAAATATCGATAATTTTGCCGATATTTCGGCGAAATTATCGTTTTTTAGGGGCAGCGATATTTTAGTAGGTTTCCATTTATTTATCGTCAATTTATCGATAATTTCCTCGATAATTTCGGTACCGATATTTTCGTTCAAATGGCAGCTGCAAACGGTTAACATATCGCGATATTATCGATAATATCACGATATGAACATTCAAAAATGAAATAATTCGCTTGAACGTCACATCCCAGCTTCCAACTTCTAACTGATATTTTTAGAAACATCAATGGAACCAATCGATGAGTCCATACAAGGAAAACCATATCTGAAGTTATGAACCTTAAAAGATAATAAATAAATAAACTATCCAGCAAAACATATCTGAACCTCAACTGAGCTTTAAATTTGCATGAAAAATCAGATTTCATATCCGAACAATAAAAAAATCAGATTCAAGAACTTATCCCAAGATATTCAAGAACCCAAATCTACAAAGAAAGAGATATGGTAGCGGTACTTAGTATTTGGTACCAGTTAGTACCATACCATACTGAATACCTGAAGTATAATTTTTTTCATCTCTCTCTCTCTCTCTTCTTGTTCTTTGTTTGGTTGCTGTTGCTGTAGAGAAGTGTAGTGTCTTATATTGAGATTTCCCTGATAAGTAATAAAAAAACAATCTTCAAATCCAACAGATACAATCCAAAACCTCACCCAAACCCACCTAGCCAAATCTATCTCTCCCCTTGTTGTTTATCTGCATGAAAACCCTAACAACATTCACCTTTTCCAAATCCCAGAATCAGGTCCCACCAACAACATTTAAAATCCAACTACCCAAAACCCACTTCTTTAAACCAAAAAACATTCACCAACGATCTAACCTCAACGCTCTTCAAAACCCCCTAGTCAGAAAGTAGACAAAGATTCACCTATTCTAGCTGACAACACCATCGTCCATGTCTGCTAGCTATTATATACACACACACACACTTTAGAAAAAGCCAAAGGAGAGAGAAAAAGTTTTGGATTTTTTCAAAAATGAAAGTTTTTTTGTGGCTAAAACCTAAATTTACTATATATATATATGATGCGGATCCGTGGCACTATGTTTTTTACACAAGTTTTGACACAAATTTCACACCTTTAGATTAACCCACTATCAATGGATGAGATTAAATCTAAACTAATTCTTTCTTTTTTAAATTATTATAAACTGAAATTAATTTGAATTAAATTCACCACTCTAATTTTTCTCTCTTCATTTATATTTTCACATTCTCCTATAAGAAAATTGCAATTGAAAGATGAAAAAATCATTTATTTCCCACTGTGCCTTTTCGGGGAAATTTTTTCCTTCCCCATTCTCCTTCTCCTCCTCTTTCATCTGCAACCCAAACTTGAAACCATCCACCAAAAAATACTCAAACTTGAAGAGAAGAGTGTTCGTGAAGGTTTTTATGGTTCATATCATTTTTCTTAGAGCCTGAACATTACATTTTTAGCACATATAGAAGAGAGTGGGAGTCGGGCTGAGTAAATTTTTATCAGACTTTACATGAATCTTCACATGCACCATGAATGCATGTATAAGATTTGTCTTCAAATGCTTCCAGATTAAAATGATGATTAAGTGAAATCCCGAGAAATGATTAAGAGAAGCCCACTTTTACAAAACTATAATGCTCTGTGAATCTTTTTAATCTGTACATCTTAGATTATAGGTTTTCCATTAGAGATCACTGCGATTGAGGATGAGATTTTGGTGAATAGATACAACATAAAGAGGAAATCATAGCAAAAACAAAACAAAGATTATTATTATTTTTATACCAATCCAAACTGAGGATAATTGAATAAAATATTAGAGCCCTAGACAAAGAAATCGAAGGAAAAAGCTGAAGAAAAGGGAACCTCATAAACCCATTCATGGCCGCCAATACAAAGCATATGTCTTTAGACTTTATATTGCTTGTTTTCAAGCAATTGAGAATAGAAACATGACAAAGCTTATAAATCCGCCATCGGTGCTCTAAGACTTTCCATGTGATAGATAGATCTGAGTTTTCTTTTTTGTTCTTGTTTTTTGATTGAATTGTTTCTGAGGAGAATGAGATTAATTACTGTTTATTGTGAATGTTATTGAGGAGAGAGAGTGATTTTTATTGGCACATTAAAGTTACCTAGAAAAGTAGGGAATTTGACCAAAATTAATAGAAAAGTGAGGAGTTTAATATTTTATTATTCATTAATTTGTAAGTTAAATAGTGAAGTCACATGTAATCTTAACCGTTAAAAGTGCTTGCATCCAAAGGTTATAAAATTGTGTCAAAAACATAGTGCCACGGATTCGTCTCCATATATATATATATATATATATATATCAGTCCCCTTCTATTGAGGGATCCCTCAAATAATTTTATTTGAGGGACACCCTTTAGGATACCCTATAATTTTTTTTCCAATAATCCAAACCATCTATCTTTTAGGTCTTCATTCATAGATCATCCTTACAAAAAATTAGACAAATTGGAAACTGTTTCGACATCCAATTGTGTCATATAAAATCAATGAACACGGTGCTTCAAGAAAGTATTAAAATTTCAATAACTCAATTGAATGGTCAAATGATATCGGATTCAAGTGATTTTTTGTAGAGATGATCTTTGAATGTGTATCTACAAAATAGACGTTTGGATTAGTGAAATACAATCCGGAGTGGGCCTTATAAGGGGTGTCCCTCAAATAAGCTTATTTGAGGGATCCCTTAATGGAAGCTCTCTGTATATATATATATATATATATATATATAATATACGTGTATATTAGGTAGGTACTGCAACCACAAAGACCAAAGTGCATGCCTTGTGTTGTTGTGTTTCTTCTCTGTGGTAAGGTAAGCCTCAAGCAAGCAACTTCCTTAGAATTCTGGATATTGATTTGGTTGATTAGGATTTTGATATTGAATTTGTTGAATCTTTGAATCTATAACTTAGGCATCACTTATTTTGGTGAATGAATTTGTTGAATATTGAATTGGTTGATTTTTGAGTTGTGCCATTTTGGTACCGAAATGGTACCATTTCACACCGATACCGATTTGGCATAGTATGGTACGGTAACAACTTTGGCAAATGATGATCTCATACCGTACTATACCAGTTTTAATTTCCGGTATCAGTAGCAATACGAGCTCAATACCATACCGTACCGTACCATGCCCACCCCTACTTTCTAGACATAAAAGTACACAATAAATCATATAAATCACGCTAGTTCATAATTCCATTGACTAATTTTCAATAAAAAAATTTTATACGCTATATTGGGAAAGGGAAATAGAACCTAGGACCTCAACTCAAGTGCAAGGCTAAATGCTTACATCCAATAAGGTTTAGCATAAAACAAATACATATGCCAATGAGGTATATAGTTAGTTAAGCTCTTCCACCTCCACCCATATGGGTAGAGGTTTGAAACCCCTAGGCACCCAATAAATATTGGGTAAACCCTCCCTCCTCCAATCACTTGTACTAAAAAAAACATATTAAATGCAACCAAAAAACTCATATTATCAAAATAGAAATATGTTCAACAACATAATTGAAAGTGTACACATTTTAATGTGTTTTTTTCATAAAGAATTGGACTTTTTTTGGACTTTAATAGCTTAATATATAGTTGGTTATAAACAAGTCAAATATATATATGGTTTTTTCCCCCAAAAAACTCCCTAGGCTACAGCCCACTATAGCCATTAACCAAGTTCCGCCGATGAAAGTTGATTCCTCTTTTTTAACCTGAGTCACCTCTTTACCTTTCAGATACTTACCATTTAAAACATCCCGCTAAAGGCCCTCATGATGTTGTAAAATCCTCCAACCAACTTTAGCAAGAGATTTATGAGATTTTTCATTTAAACCCCGCACTTATCTTTGTTCACCCCAATACTTAAATCATTAACCTGAAAGTTTTATTATTGTGTAAAAAGACAAAAAAGGTCATCCAACTTAATACTTAACCCTAGTATATCTATACACACAACCCACACACCACACCACTCTTCATATTAAGTTTTAGAAAAATACAAACTCCTCTACATCATATTGCCAGATTACTCTTCTCCTTTACACCTTCATTATCTTCCCTTTTTATCTCCTATAAAATATAGGTATGCTTTTGTTTTGATGTTACAACTGATTGTGGAGAAAGAAAAGTATATAAGGATTATCATCTTAAATGCCATTTTTACTGTAGCAAAGTTCTCAAATAGCAAATGACATCATTATATCATATCATCTCAGTAGGCTAAATGTCACTTTTCCATTGGGTAAAAAATAAAAGAAGATGTTGTGGTCATTGGTTTTCACTGTCTTCATAAAACGAAACCAAACAAACTAGAATTTCTCGTATGATCTAATCACATGATAAAAATAGCTTGTGAAAACAACAAAATCTCATGTATACTACAAATATTGTTTAATGATTTAAGTATTGGGATGAACAAAGAAAATTGTGGGGGTTTAAATAGAAAATCTCTTTTATTTATTTATTTATTATTATAGCTTTGGGTGTATTTAAGGGTAGTTTAGGAAGATAGTGGGGTTTTCTTAGAAATTGTGAAAATTTAAATTAAAAGTTGGGGTGAACTAAGAGAAGTGTGGGGTTTAAATAGAAAATCTCGAGATTTATTAACAATATTGGCTCTTTTAAGACCCAATCCACCAAAGCATTTTGGACGAGAAACCTACTCCCAACTCACAAGATGCACCTTCACACTCTCATGGGGGACTTAGAGGTTTGCATAGCATAATTGGTCTTTTACATTTGCTATTATATTTTATAGAAAGTATGTGAGAGAATGAATATGATATTTTATTATAAAAAGCAAGTGGGGTCCAATATACCTCTTTACTTTGAAGTAGGCAAATTGTCTTGTTGGGGAGAGTGTGTATATTTTGCCTACCTATTTGCCTCTTCCCTTGGAGCATGAAAACGCTAATGTGGCAAGGCAAATAAGGTTTGCCTAATCTTTTGCCTCTTCCCTTGAAAATGTTCTTAGTTTTGTAGGATGAAGTTCAAAGTAGAGGAAGAATCATGGTCTAGTAGTACTTCTCTATGTGACAATAGAAGAAGTCTCAAATTTATAATCATCAACGATAAAAAAGAACAAATATATCAAATATTTGACCCATTCTCGTAACAAAAAAAAAATGTTGAGATTCTAAGTGGGGTTTGTTACTCCAAGTCCAAGTCCAAGTCCAATGTAGGAGAAAATTTTGCGTGGGACAAAATATTCAAGTTAAATTTTTGCATGTGTTAAAAAACTGAAAAATTATCATTACTTTGAACACTTGTTATGTTTTAATTGGATTGTTTTACCACTCATTATTTTAGTGTGGCACAATTCATAATGCATCTTTTTCGTATTAGACTCGAGTAACCTTTCTGGGTGATCAAAAAGTGGCATTTCAATCAAATAGTATGACCTAAAATGTGGAATTTGAATCTAGTTGTAACTGTTGGTGGCGTGGGGGCAAGGATATGATTGCTAAAAGGAAAATTCTAGGATACCATATTTATAAACCACATTATGTATCACCTCTGTAATAGAAGTGGATCCCATTGTATTGGTGGGCTCCACCTTTATTAGAAGGAGGTACACAATGTGGTATATAAATGTGGCATGTTAGCATAATCCTTGCTAAAATTAAACTTACAACGAACTAAATAGAAAATGGGTTAAAAAGTTTGTAACTCAAGTGATTAAAAGCATTCACCTTAATATCAGAAAATAGGATTTTCGATTCTCTGTAGTGGGCTCGGAGTTTTTCCTCAAGACTAGGCCCAAGAAGACAGAGGGCTTGTTGCTTCTACTTAGAGCATCTCCACCCATAAGGGCTAAGTCTAGGGCAAGGGCAAGCAAGGGCTGCCACTATTCACGTGAATAGTGTTAGCCTTGCCATTTGTGGTTCCACCCATGAAGGCTAAGTCTAGGGCAAGTCTAAGGCAATTACTATTCACTTAAATTTATTTTTTATTTTTTATTCTTAAACCATTGATTTTGATAAGCTTTTCGGATAAAATTTTCAATTCCCAAGTGTTAATATTTATCGTAAAATCCTCACCTAAAAATCAAGATAACATTTTCAGATAAAATTTTGAAATTAAATTGGTGTGGAAAGTGAATAATATTGGTAGGTATGTATAGAAAAAATTTCCATAATTTTTTTGATATTTTTTTTTAAATTTTTTGATATTTTTTGATATTTTTTTTAAGCCAAAAATTGGACAACCGTTGGATTGTGCAAGATTTTTTGATCGGAGGCTCCAGGAGAAGCCACATGGCTTGTAATCATTGGGCAATGTGGGCTGGTGGGTCCAACAGTAAAAAAAAAATTGAAAATCAGCTGCTGACGTCAGTAGCCCGAGTTTTGGTGCCCAGGCAAGATTAGCCCGTGGGCTTGCCCAGGCTGGTGGGACCCACCATTTGCCCGGGCTCATTGCTGTGCGCTGGAGCTGGAAATGGGCTGCCAGGAGGGCCTTTTGCCCAGGTTTGGTGCATTGGTGGACATGCTCTTAGGCCATCCCCAAAGGGGCTCTAAAGTGGGATGCACCACCCTTGGGCTGCAATATATAGCAACTGAAGCAAAAAATTCATCCCCAGTGGTTCAGTTTTGGGGCCTTAAATGATTGAGCCCCAAAGGAGCTATACCCAGATTTATGTTCATGGTTGAAGCCCCTAAAACCGAATGGGGCCCACGTAAAGAAAAAGCTACCAACCCATGTGTTGTTGGTGACTTGCCTTGTGACTGCAGCTCATGATACTCTCTTCTTGACCAATGTTTGCTTCTCTTTGTTTTATATTTTATTTAATGTGACCAATGAGAGGGGATGGGCTAGATGGGTTTGTTTTTGTATTTTTTTGACAGATGAGGCTTTGTTTTTTTTCAAGGCAACAATCTAGTTTTTTTTCATAGAAAAGATTTTCAAATCTTGTCCAAATTTTGATTTTTTTTTGGTTGAAATGTTCACACACAAAAAACTAACATGCTATAATATACATTAAAGCAAATAAATTTTTTTATTTTAAAAATAACACGTATATAAAATTATATCGAATATAGAGCTCTAGATATAAAGTTTTTCTGTTGTGAGAGTAATTCCTTTAGAGCCTCAAAAATTTCATCAGAATTCTAAATGAGGCTCTATAAATCTTTTTTAGAGCCCCAATTATTGGGGATGGCCTTAAAATCAGGGGAAATTCTATATGAACCCCATAAATTACTCTTTACACCCCATAATTTTTTACACCCCACTAAATTTTAATAAAATTTCAAATTACTCATTAAACCCCTTTTTTTTCCTTAAATTGCCCTCATAAACCCCATTCCCTAACCACCCACCGAAAACCCCCTTCCCTTTCAGCCACACCCCATCTGAAATCAAACCCCACCCTATCTGATATCCAGCCACACCCCACCGAAAATTCTCTCCTCTTGCAGACACACCCCATCCCATTTACACCAACCTCCATCGCAGAACCATCGAAGAAGCCCTTTGCCATTGCCTGCATCGCAGAACATCGAAGAACTCATCCCTTGCCATCGCAGATCTTTGCTCACCATCGAAGAAGCCCTTTGCCATCACCTCCAGCAAACCTGAACCATCTCTGAAACAGAACCATCACACCCATCTCCATCTCCATCTCTGCAAACCCAAAAGCCATTGAAGGTCAAGTTCTCACAAATCCTTATTCAAGGTTTGATTTCAAATTTGATTTATATATTTACGTTTCTAAGTGTTGATTAAGCCTACATTTGATTTCACTTTTGAAAAGCCAAAGTCTGATATTGATTTTGATTTCGATTTCAAGGTTCTGGGTAGTTCGAACCTGGTTTTACGAAATTGGATTCTAGTTTCGGTGGATTACCACCGAAATGATTACATTGCTTCAGTGGTAGTCCACTGAATTGAACCTGTACTTTCGGTGGGTTACCACCGAAATTGTTACCTTGTTTCGGTGGTAGTCCACCGAATCTGTTTCTATTTTTCAGGGGACTCCCACCGAATTTCTTTCGGTTTTTCAGTGGTACTCCACTTTGTCCATCGAATTTATTTCCGTTTTTCAGTGATTATGTACCGAATACGTTACTGAGTGTGTACTTAATATTGTTTATTTTTAGATATGAAGAGGATTCGCAGGGGTACTAGTGAAGCTTCATGCCACATTCTAGAAACTGGTGGAATAGGATGATCTGGAGACAAATGAACCTACAAAACAAGAATCCATTCATATACGCATAGCATATAAAATTAACCAATGTTGCGTAAACAAATAAATTCATACCTGGACATAGTGATCATCGTCAACAAAACCAATGGCAATCTCATTTAGCTTGGTTTCGCTTGATTGAACTGAGAAAGGAAGAAATGTAAGGCATTGACGCATGCTTAGAAGGATTAAAACCACATTATAACATGTGGCAATAATATGTCCCATATCAGGCATGGTCATCCAACAAAAGAATGGTGCAAATCCATCATCAAAATAATTTAGCGCTCGCTCAATCTCGTTGTATCGTTTATGTTCCCGAATACATTTCTTAAAAACAAAAGACATATCATGTAGTTATTGCAACAAATCCTTGCGTACCCTACGCCATTCATTATGACCAAATCCCATTGCCATAGCTATGGCTCTATATCCACAGTTACCATCCGGAAGAACTTCAGTCTGGTGAGTGATATATTTCCTAAATGGATTTAACCAATTTTCATGTATGTATTCAAGAGCTTTTTGAAATTCACTGAACTTAGACTCAATCTGTCGCAAACAACGCCAATATTCCTCCTCCGTTTCTGAACCAATCAAAGTATTCCAATCCTCATTAAATTGCTTCTATTGTTTGAGGGTCCCAAATAACTTCTTGCAGTTTGCCAACACTCCTTTGTTAATATGTCATCTACATAATAAATGTCGTGCTTTCGGAAATATAGACGTAATAGAATTCAAGAGTGCTAACTCTCAATCGGTGACAATAACACCAGGAAGACAATTATCATCCAACAAACTCCTCAACGCAGTCAATGCCCATGTGTAATTGTCTTCCTTCTTGGCATTCATATACACATACGCAACAGAGAATGTCATATTAGTAGATGTCACCCCCACAATTTGCAATTGTGGGAAACGATACCTATTAGTCTTATAGGTGCAATCCATGATAAGTACATGTGGAAATGCGCGCAAAATATCAATATTAATGGGGTGTGTCCAAAACAGGTCAGTTACAATATCACCAGATGTCCTATGCCACTCAATATAATTGTGTTCGAATAACTTAGTAAGAAATTGTTGCATTTGGGTTCTCCCAGCAAATTCTTTGGTTCTATTTCGGATCCTAGCATTGTATATTGTCTTCATAGTTGAAACATTCATTGCATCTCTATCTTTAATGGTGACCAAAATATCTCTGGGTTTCACCAAACTCTTAGACATGTCCACCAACAAGGCATTCTCCTCTTCAGTAAGTCGCCCCACAAATGAATGACCTTGAAGATACTCTGAAATAGGATGGTTGTGTACTTCACAAACCACCTCCAACTTCCAATCATCCCCATCACCAATATTGACACCTTTTAACAAGAATGGGCATCCACATTTCTTGGTTCCAGTGTCTCTAGCACATTTTTTCATATCACTATTTGCATCCGATCTTATATCAGTTGTCTCACTAGACTTGCAAAACTTATAGTTACCGTTCCTCTCACAAGCAAGTATTACACGAGGTCTCCTCTTGCCCTCACCTCCATAATCAGACCTTTTAATTACAATGACAATATTATTCAATTTTCCTTGTTCACGAGCCCATCGAAGTAATGCATCTCTACCATTGAATATCTACACATAAAACTCATATTATTTAAATATAAAATTTGAAACATTAATGCCACGTTAATGATACTAAAAAGGATTTCAGACAAATAATTACCGAATAAGTTGTGAATTGATCACTATAGTCCATTACACATTCTGTTCCCACATTGTTGCCTTCAGTAGGGGCATCACCTTGATTTTGTTCCTTCAATGGGAGTAAGATCAAAATAGCTTGGATTAAATTTGTGGTCGGCAATAAGTTATTGAAAAAATAAATAAATTTCGGTTGGATGCCACTGAAACGCGGGTAAAAGTTCGGTAGTACACCACTGAACTACATTCCATCTTACGGTGGATCCCCACCGAATATTAAGTTTCTCACCGGTGAAATCCAACCGAAAAAGGTGCAAAGTTTCGGTGGCATCCCACCGAAATTACCTGTCGCGTTCGGTACTGATGTGCTGAACACAACCAGCGATTGCTATGAAATATTAAACTTGCAAAACGCCAAAAAATAAACTCGTACCTCATTCGAAGCGTCTCTAACTTCAATCTCACCCTTCATGAATAAATACAATATATTTTTTCACCAGTATAAACTTATAAATCTTGGGTTTAGGGTTTAGGAACATGATAGTTTGAGAAAAAAGTCAAACTAGGGTTGCAGTAACATATGTGGGGTGTAGTGAGCAATTTTAATTTTAATTTTAATTTTTTTTGTCCTTAACGATAATTGTGTACAATGATAAAATAGGTTATTTATATTTAAAATTAGTATGGGGTGTAAAGAGCAAGTAATGGGGTGCCAATAAAATCACCCTAAAATCAGTTCTGCCCAACCGGTGTTGAGTGAGTGAGCGAGAGTGACTGAGTTTTGGCGCTTGAAACATTTAACGTTGAAAACGCAAGTGCGAAGTAAAAGCCCCTACTCTCACCGTCACTGACTGACTCGCCGAGTCACCAGACTCAGTGACTCACCACCATGTTTTTGAACCTACTTCAAGCCTCGTCCTTCTAGTTCTAATGCTCTCTCGAGTCTCCAAAACCCTATTTCCCAAACTACCCCTTTGCTGTATACTTCGTTTTGCCCGAGCCATGAGCTCCCAGTCGGCTCAGCGCGCCTTCCAGCTCCGAGTCAACCCGATCACTGGAAACTCCGAGTGGGTCGTCATTGAAGAAGACGAACCAGAAGAACAGACTTTCAACGGCGGTTCCCAAAATGCCCTTCTTGTCACGACGTCATATCTTGACATGCTCAACGACTCCCATAGAAACAGAGCCTTCCGTGAAGCCATAGACAAGACCATTTCCACTCCTTGCCATGTTCTCGATATCGGGTAGCTACAAAATTACGACTTTGTTTAATTCAATCAATTAAATTTATATTCTTTTTACATTTAATTAATTAATTCATCCAAATTTGAATTTTTGTGAAGTTCTGGAACTGGGTTGCTATCGATGATGGCGGCACGGGCGATGGGCTCGATGACATGTCGGATGGTGACTGCCTGCGAGTCTTACCTTCCAATGGTGAAGTTAATGAAGAAAGTGGTGCGCTTGAACGGCATGGAAAACCAAATAAAGCTTATCAACAAGCGTTCTGATGAGCTCAAACGCGGAATTGATATCACTTCTCCTGCTCAAGTTCTGGTAAGTTAAAAAAACAAAGTATTCTGATTTGTGCAAAAACGTTGCCGTTCTGATTTCCAGCGTAGAGTTAGAGTACATACCCCTGAGACTGTTCTTAAATGGGTAGGTTAGTGAGATACTGGATTCTGAGTTGCTGGGTGAAGGGCTTATTCCGAGTCTACAACATGCTCATGACATGTTGTTGGTGGAAAATCCCGAAACGGTGCCATATAAGGCCACCACCTATGGCCAGGTATGTGAAGATATAAACAGTTTTACAATGTAGGATGGAATGTCATGTGTTTCCCATGTAACAAAATATGTTGAATAACCTGCTTTGTGCAACATTCCCTCAGCTTGTTGAAAGCACATTTTTGTGGAAGCTTCATGATTTACATGGCAATGAGGCAAAAGCGTCTGATGGGATTCTTCTTGTTCCAACTGGGTTGGATAATATTCTAGGTGTTAAGCCGCAGCAGTATGCCTTTCATTGTGATGCAATAGGAAAAGAAGTGAAACTGGTAATGACATTGTGTTACTCTTGAACAGGCTTTTACAGAAAATGCTAGTGGTTTAATTCCTACTCAGTTTTGGATTCATCCAGCTGTCCGAACCCTTCAAAATTTTTGAGTTTGATTTTTGGAAACGGCCAGACAGTCATGGGGAAACAGAAGTACATGTGAAGTCAACTAATGATGGCCGAGTTCATGCTGTAATATGAGTGGTGTAGGGTTGGATTTGATAATACAAAGTTACCTTTTTTTTTTTTTTTTTTTTTTTTTTTTTTTTTTTTTTTCTTTCCCCGCCACCAGGGACAGCGCCTAACAATTTCAATGGTTGTGTTTGTGTGTGATGTTTCAGGTGGATACTTCAGCTTGATCGTGAAGGGACAATCTTTTATTCCACTGCTCCTAGGTGGATAAGTTTGCCAGGCAACACAAGTAAGTTGTAGACACCATTCCTTTGTGAGTAAGAGTGAATGCCATTTTACTTTGTGCTTTATTTAGTGCCTTTTGTGTTCTTCATGGTAAGTTAAGCAGCTCGATGTAGAATTCAATAAATTTGATTAAGTGGTTTTGTATGTTCACCCTATTAGTGTTGTCATGTGAAACTGTGGTAGCACAGTACGAATGTCTTTTGCTATCCTCAACGACAAATTCTCCACCAACCCTGGCTGCATTCAGTCTTACCGGAGAAACTTACTCGTCTATTCGGAACTTCACTGTGCAAATTAATTGACTAGTATTTACCAGTGCTTGATGTTTGGTCTTCTTGTTCATGCAATAAAGAAGGTGGTTTTAATTTTTTGCCAGGTCATGGAGATTGGTGTGACCATTGGAAACAGTGTGTTTGGTTTGTTCCTGGTGAAGGTATGTCCATAACGAAAGATGAAGAGGTTTGTTTACATGCTGTTCATACAGATATTAGCATCTCATATAATCTCAAGAACCAAGCGTCAAGAAATGAGATTATGCAGTATGGCTTCAAAAATGGGGATTTCAAGCTCATACTACCACCAGAAAGAATTGCAATTTATGGAGACAGTGAATGGAGGCATACCATGTTTAGTGCCATAAGTAATTCTGTAAGAATTAAGATAACTCTCTCTCTCTCTCTCTCTCTCTCTCTCTCTCTCTCTCTCTCTCTCTCTCTCTTAAACCACCACCATCCCCACCCCACACCCGCTCCTCTGTTCCAAAAATTAAAATTAAAAATTAAAAAAGAAAGCTTCACATTGTTGACATGAATGGTATTCTTCACAGTTACAGGGAAGAGTTGATCCATTATGCATTGTTGCAGATGACAGCATCTTCTTGACACTCCTTGTTGCACATCTTTCTAAAACATCACATGTGATGTCATTTTTTCCGGGGTTGCAAGACAAGGGTTTCCAATATTTGCAAGCTGTTGCCAATTCAAATGGTTTCTCAATTGATCGTGTAGAATTTCTTAATAAGAGGAAAACAAAATTGACCATGCATGACACACACCAGAAAAAGGTACTTTCTTCCCAATTGAGTTTGTATACCAGTATGAATGGGTGCTGAAAATTGAATTTATTGTATGTGTATGTGCTCTTTAAGCTTACAATGGAGAAAGGTTTTGGTAATGATATGTTGATCGATTAAAAGACATACAATGATAATTCTTTTTCCTCCTCTCTCTTTAGTGGTAACAATAGAATAGGTTTTGAAATTCTGTAAAATTGAAATGCTGAATTTGCACTGAAACCTTGTGTAATACTTTTTGAAAGTTGATGTTGCCCATTGGATGAAAATATGACATTTTTGCTGTTGACAATTTACAAACTGAATTGAACCATTTTGGGGCTTTTGTCCTGTTTGTAGGTTGACCTGCTGATTGGAGAACCTTTCTACTATGGAATGGATGGCATGCTTCCATGGCAGAACCTACGCTTTTGGTATACTTTTGTTATCTGTTCCTGCAGTAATTCAAATTAAGTGCTTTATGAGATTGTCATGCTTTAATAAGATGATGTATACAATATGTAGACTCAAGTAGGAGTTGGTTTTAGACTCTTTTCTTTAGGATAGCGATGACTATATATATGCATTTTCATATTAGCATAATTTTCCACCAAACCATTGTCTTTTTTTTATCATTGTTCAACATATAATGGTGACCATTGGTTATGCAATGCGGAAGATGTTGATTGATTTTATAGTTAAACTAAATGTGTACAAATACACACACACACACACACACACATATATATATAATGTTTTTTGTTCTTGTTCTGGATTGGGTTTGAAGGAACGAACGGACAATGCTTGACTCTGTCCTATCCCAAGATGCATTGATACTGCCGTGTAAGGCGATATTAAAGGCTTGTGCGTTATCTGTCCCTGTAAGTTGTGTTCTAACCTACCACCAACCTTTTCCCCAACAGTGGAAAGTTCTATATCTTATTTGTTTCAACAATGTACATGACTGTTCACTAAGGATTATAAGTTAATGATATGTGACCTGTTGAACAGGATCTTTGGAATAGTCGTTGCTGCTTGAGTAAGATTGAAGGTTTTGATCATTCAGTTGTAAATTCTACCTTAGGAGCATGCGGTGAATTACCTGCAGAGCAAGAGTGTCCTTGTCTTCCCTATTTTATATGGCAGTGTGGAAATGTTAAGGTAATCAACCAGTGGATTTTATGTTTCTGTAGAGAGGAGTTTTATTTTGGAGAAGAATTAGAAGATTTAATTTTTGGAACGACAAATATGTCACTGATGTTGAGGCAATGGTTCCAAAAATATTTCAGAAACTGAGTGAAGCATTTACGGTCATGGAGTTTGATTGCTCAAAACCTATAACATCATCTTGTGGAAAAACCCAGGTACCACAATTAGAACTTTGAAATCTGCATGGTAATATTTGTGGCCATCCTTGTTGAATTTTGGTCACAGTTGGTTTGTTGCAAAGGACAGTAGTGGTGGTATTATTAGTCAGACATAATGAAGCATGCTCTCTGTTGTTTAGCACTAACCATGGAACAAATTATTGTGCTCACTAATCATTGATTCTGAGACCTTGGTAGTTTTAAGATTTCAATTGCCTTGAGCTCTTTATGTTCCATCTAAGAGGTGAACATCAAATTTATCTTTTAAAATCAGCAAAATATATTTTTTGAGAAACTATAAGGTAAAATACCGATTTATCCCTAATTTTCTTAGCAAATTGATTTACATATCCTATTCACAGAAAAATCAAACCGCAGTGACCTTACCCCTACTTTTCCGTTCTGATTTTGAATTAATAAACATGACTGTTTTTATTATCTACGTGGGTTAATCATAACTTCTCATAACAATAAAGCGTCACTATGATCTTGCTTAATTGGTGGTTGGAATGCATTCCTGCCAGGTTGAATTTACTGAGCCTGGGATATGCCATGGCTTTGCACTATGGATTGATTGGGTGATGGATTCAGAGAACTCCCTTGTTGTGTCTACAGGGCCAGGTATGGTTGGGTTCCTTGTCCAAGCTGTTCAATTGAAATTTGCTACTTATATTTACTGTTTTGCACATTTTTGAACAACCATGATTGTTTTTTACTTCAGCCTTAGTTATGTTTTGCTCACATTTTGTGTGAAATGTGGATCCAGAGAAGAGATATTGGAAGCAAGGAGTAAAGCTTCTGGCTGAGCCTGTGGCAGTTAGAACTAATGAATCGAGAAGTACGGGTGAATGCCGGTCTGCAGTGATTCAAGCGTTGTTTGACCCATCAAGCGGCGACCTCAACGTCAGACATGCTTTCTCATAGCCATGTCAAGTGAAACCTGCCTCTACATCATTTGAACCATGAAGTGATACCTGCACTCTCTTAGCCTCTCATACTGTGGTTCTCCTGTGCTGTTATTGTCTCATGTTTTAGGATTTTCTTAAGAGTTCATGATCTATAACTGAGAGTGTAATCCCAATTTTTTTAGGGTTTGCACCCTTGCTGCGTGGATCGATTGGTTTCTGTTCTGGATTATGCTTCTGTTAGTATGATTAACGAAATAGACAATATATTTTAAAAAATTTATGCAAATATATTGTAGTAGATATTGATCAAAAGAGTTCACTACAGATAGTCTTAAATAAATAGAATTAGAAGTTTCAATTGTAAAAATCAGAGGATCCTAAAATTTAATAAATACCAGAGGTGGTGTTGTTTTGGACCTCTTTAAACATTAGAAAGAAGAAAAAAAAAGATTACCAGTAAACTAATTGGTTAAGACTTGAAATGAGTCGTGTCAGGCCCTTGGGTTTTTCTTTGTACATTTCTTGGAGGTAATAAATATGTTTCTTCTCGGGGAAAAAAAATGTTAAGCATGTATTTTTGGACGCAAGCACCAAGCAACACTAAAAACATCAGATGATGATTTTAACTAAGAAAATATGGTGAAACAAAAACAGCTCTATAGGAAGTAGCAGATTCAACTTGAGTTCAACATCTGATTGATCCATTGAGTACACTGGGAATTACAAACACCGATGAAAATCGTTTTTCATAATAGCTTTTCTGGGCAACCTAAAAAATAAAATAAAAAATAAAAAATAAAAAAAATAAAAAGAGAAATATGACATCACACGAAAATGGTGTGACACTGTTTCTGGTATAAAAATATGGCCTTTATTTCAATTTTTGTCAAAAAGAATAATACACGGGGAAACTTATTTTCAGGTTTCTAATTAAATACAATATTCAAGGAAAAAGATAAAAAGGATCGGTTGTAATGGGAGAAAAAGGTGGAAATCTAATACGATACCTTTTCATTTTGTCTCAAGGCTTGTAAAATCATTCAAAACTGTGATAGGTAAGCAAATGAGATTCAAACATGGTGAAATGAAAATCAAATTCTGTGCTCTTCCTGAGGTATTAGCAACTTGTCATAATCGTCAACGGTAACCTAGTATAAAAGTTTCAGATTAGCTAGACAACAACAATACTTCAGGATACTTGTGTTCTAAACAGCAGAAGATTCTGACCGGAAAACAAAAGAACAGGGAATTGTAGTACCTCATATCTCCCATCACCGTAAGTGTATTCCACATACAACTGTTTAGGCTCTCCAGGACATGGATCACAGAAGCCCATAATGCCGGACTTCTTTACGCCTTCATGAAGCTGCATGATTAAATTAAGCAACCAGAAGTCTTAGAAAAACTATGCATTTTTAGGGAACAATTGTTTCTAAACTTGAAATTTATTCTGGTTACAGTATGCTGCAAGACTGGCATGTCAAAGCAGTTGCAGTTTGGTTACTCAACAATGAATTTTAATTGTCTTCATGAGCTAGAACCTTACCCTCCCCTTCCCCCTTAGGTTGAGAGAGAGCAGAGCAGCGAAAAATAAAGTCCATTACTTTAAGGTTTGTAAAATTCATTTTCACAGTTTGTTTTACTACTTGGTACATATTACAGCGTGCATTTCTTCTTTTTTCGGTTATAATAGTAAAGCATGCATTCTTGTAAATGCAAAATTATTCATTCTATTTTAGCCAGACTTATTGCTAGGCCAACAATAAGTAAGCACTTGATACTTAAGAGTCTCAAGATACTAAAAGCAGTAACATAATATTTATAAAAGAACAAACCTTCAGTTGCCCAGAATCACTGACAAGGAAATTTAGAGGCAATTTAACATCAATGACCGGTGAATCATTCGATTCTACCAGTTCATCTCTTTTCTTCAAAGCTTTGAGACTCCCATACCATGCTTTTGTGATTACCAGGCCCCCGATTTCTAGCTGCCTATTTTGTTTCCTATTCGCTACATTCTGTAGTAACTTCTGAGCTTTGTCTGCTGCTGCTCTTGCCTCTAGAACCTGCAGATACAAGGTTTATAAATTCTTCCAAATTTTCACACAAGACAAAATGGAAAACAATAAAATAAAAAAACAGAAAGATATCATGTGCACAGACTGCATTGTATTAATTCAGGGAAAAATAATTGTAGAACACACTGAAACCCGCAATCATCCAACTTAAAACAAGGTGCAACAGGTATCTTCAGCATCTCACCAAGAATTACAACACAGCACAAAACTTGGTCCCATTAAATTGCACAGATATTTTGCACTTATGGATAGCCATACCGGTGTAGAAGTTTTCTCCATATTCTCTAAAGCCTTTTGCTTTTCCCTCTTAAGGTAATAAGGTTTCAAAACGAATTTCTGCAAGTATTCAAAAAGGACACATAATCAATAGACAATATATTGATTTAAAAAATGTGGGTTAATAAGATCAAATTGGAACTTCCAAGTATCAATACATTTCCCAATACCAAGATTTTCACAAAATATAAAATGCCAAGTGAGTACATCGGAACTCTGCAGATAAACTAATATAAGTAAGCGACTAATGATGGACCATGGAAAACGACGTCAAATAATCAATAGATGGTGGAACAACGCATCTGCTCCATAACTAAACACTTGGCCACCTATTGGATGTACAAAATCCCTTTTCCTCGTTTGACATGGGATCCAGAGAGAATATATATATATATATATATATATATATATATATATAAAGCATAGAAGATGCAAATCTCTGGTGAATTAAGTACACTGATAAGGTAGATTGCATCTTCAAGACACTAGCCCACATACATCATTTCATAATTTGCTTCATGAATTTTACAAATGGGACCCACTTTAACAAGACAAAAATAGGTCAACAACATCAGCCACAAGTCTTTTCAATAACAGGAAGTACCATCGTTAATTCATGGCTATATTCTTTGCCTAAAATTCACATGACTACTTCCGTGTTGCAAGCACAAGACCAAATAGAAATACGTTCATTTTATGCATGCTCACTGATCAAAATATATTTCACAATCTAACAATTTACGAACAGAAGGGGAGCAAGAAACCACTTCCTGCTATACATTTTGATATTTCAAACTAAAGACAGTTTTCAACTAATATATATTAAATTTAAAAAGGCCTAATATAAAGGAGAAGAAAAAATGTATAAAAAAAAATTAATGAGAAAATTAGCAGTAAAAAATCTAGGCTTTGTTTGCAAAAGCAAAAGGTAAAGAAGAATAACATACTCAAAACAGAATGGCCGAAGTTAGAGAATATTTATAATAACCTTGAGTACGAAGTAAAGTGATGTTGGAATTATGACCGCTGCAGCTGCAAATACAGGATCCAAATCCCCGGAAAGCAAAATCTGCATGTAAAGCCATCAGCAACAGATCAAAGCTTGTGAGGCCTAAACCTAGGTGATACTAACAATATAGAGTTATATTTCATTTTATTTCCAAAAAGATATTAAAAGAGAAATGTACACATGATGAGAAAGATTTCCAAAAATACATAACAGATATCAAAATGTAACCTCAGTTTTGTATTTTATAATCCCAATGGATCCTCAAACTCTACATAAGCCGCATTTCTAATCCCCAAGAACAACAATAAAAAGGCACACAAGCACATAAAACACCTTTGCTTAAATGTCAAATACAGATCAAATTCGTACTCACATGTAAAATACATACAGAGTAAAGACAATTCTTACAGGAATAACTAACTTTTGGCCCCCACGACGCAATTTGAATTTCCAAGAGATACCCTGTTATAGAATGGTAGTGTATAAGATATCAGTCACACTTTAAAAATATAAATAAGTCAACCAAGTACTAACTGAACAAGTGAATTGCAGTGTAAAGTAGATTGAAAGTGTTTGATGAACTAAGGAAACTGACCAATGGTCGAACTTTGTTTCAATATGAAAACAAAAGGTCACTATTCGGCAGGCAGTTCAAGGGTATTAAAAACCTGTTGAAACCGAATGAATGACCGAGCACATGTCAGCTGTCTAAATTTTCCTACATATAATGCACTGTGTTTTCTTTTTCCCTAATTCTCCTGTCCTTCTCTCTCCAATTCACCGGAACTTTAAACATGTTCTTTGATGCTTGTTCCCCTACTATCTATCCTTGACTGCCCCAAACATCCCAAGTTCTTTCCCTTGTTGGCTCCTTTTTCTTTTGATTTCTTCCTATATCTCTATTATGTCTTACTTTTATCTGGAAAATGGTGAAAATACCTGTGATTAATTTGCAAAAGACCCCTTGTTCTTCAAGTCCCATTAAAATGTTAACCAATAATTATAGAAACCAATCAACCGCACTGTCCAACCCCCTATTTTCGTGTCAATTTATCGTGCTCGTTTGGTTGATTTCAAAGTCGACTTTCTGAACACAATAGATATGTTATGTTGCTCCAGTATGAAAATATTCCAATAACTGATCAATCCAGACGGATGAAAACATCTCTTCTTGGCTGTATGGTTGGTTTGCTAACTTTTCCAAAAATTGTGGAAGATCTATTTTTCTATAAGCAGGAAATTCTTGGAAATCACTTCCAGGAACATATCCAGATATTTTTCCTAAACCATAAATGGAAATTTCTAGCCTTATTAATGTACCTTGTAGAATTTTATGTGTATAAGAATAGAAAGAAAGGTTTCTAAAAACTCAAAATATCAAGTTTAATTGGTTGTCTTCATTATTTCCTCTACAAACTATTCCCAGAAAACTCAAACAATTACCAAACATATTGAAAATTAAGAAAAGCAAAAAAAAAAAGTTACGTGGAAAATATTTTCCATGAAATAAATGCAGCCTAATGTCTGAATCACCTGAATCCCTATTGAATACAACATGCGAACGCTGCTTAAATTAGATAACTTTCTCCCAACACCAACTTCAAGCTCAAGGGCATTGCTGCATCAATAATGTCTACAGTCAGAAAGCAATTGCAAAATGCATACATATGAGCACTTATATTACCTAAATTGGTGTCCATATTTGGTTGACTACTGTGTCCTGCTTATATATCAATTAAGGTATCATAGGCATTACAGAAAATTTTTTAACATAGCATAATTGGACTAAAATCATAGACATTACATGGAGAAATCTTGTTCTGTTTGGTTGAGTCCAGCAAGTGGTACTATAGAACTTCCTAACCAGAACAATATTTTTCTTTGTAGGTGATAAAAGTAAAAGAGAAGCTACAATAGGTATCATTGGTAACTAAAATCAAAGACATCACAGGTGAAAAGGTTTAAATGTTGGAACGAAATTAAGAAAAACTAACTTTGAGAGGATAAGTACCGATCAAGATAAATAGCATTTGCTGATAATATACTATCACCCCTAAAAAGTTTTATAATTATCTATCCATTTAGATCTTAGAGCATACCTTCCAACTTTCCCCGCAATACAGCCATGAGACTTTGATGAAAACCGATGCTTATAATGAGCTGATGCCGCAAAAGAATCTATCCCACACTGTAGAAGTTGAAAATAAATGAAGTTAAAGTGAATTATGTACAACTTCAGTTTGATTTCATAAAAAGGCATTAAATTATGTACAACTAACAGTCACTGAGACGTTAGAAGCTTATAATAAATGACACAAAGTAAAAATGTCTTGCACGTACACAGAGCAATTGAATTTATAACAACTAACAGAATACTAATTATAAAATTAGAACAAGGCAGGCAAGGGTGCATAGCTATAATTATAAATTTGTAGACCGCCCTACAACTGATATGTCTCCATGGAATTCTACTCTAAAACTATGCCCCAAATATAGATGTACCTTCAGCTGTCCTGCAGCAGACAATTTCTCGTTTTTCTTTCGCCAGCCTACTGAAAGAGCTGAGTCTGAGCCTAAAGCAAGCTGGATCTGTTAAGGAGAAGGTGAACCCCCCGGGGCCAATGAAAGGTTAAAAATCTTAGCCATAAGAAGTTCATACAGATATACTAAACGGACATGTACTCTATTTTTGCTTTTAAGAAGTTACATTTGACTAGATCAACTTATATTTTTAATCCTAACAAGCTTCACAACTTATTTGACTTTTCTTTCAACTTTTCCCTCTGCAAAAGCAGGTCCCAATATGTAAGATCTGGTGTGTCCCATGTTACTGATAGAACAAATTTGCATTACAAATACAGTGATTGTGACGCGGCTGACGCATTCATGAATTCAAGCATATTCCAGCTCTTCCATAATTTTTCATGCATATTATGATCCAGCTGATGTTACAAAATACGATGAAAACCTCAACAATACCCAAAAAGAATGAAATAAAATGAGTAAACTGGAACAAGAAATGCACATACATTTCCACTTGTAGATTCAGATAGTCGTCTCACCCAGGTATTGGAGAGATTCAGCGAACCATCTCTCAAAGACATTGAAAGTCCCATTGTTGCAGTTAAATGGGATGACAAGTTACTGGACAAAAGAGACAATGAATATGCAAAGAGGAATCAGAACGTACTGAAAATTCAAACTGACCCGAATGGAATGAGATAAACTCACCGAGATGTCTGCACCCCAATAAGTGGCCATAAACCAGCTGAACCTATGAATTCTATGGAAGAAACTGAAGAAATCTGATGCCCAAAGCCAATAGTAGCATCTCCATAGCCAGAGTCCCCATTAACTTCCAAATTTCCACCAATTGAAAGGATATTGTGCTTTGATATGTGAGACTGGACTGAACTTGTCATAGCCATCCTGACATTCTTTTAATAGCAAATCAGTGTCCAGATAAAACAATAGGAACTACAATGTAGAAAACTTAACCAAAGCATAAAACTATCATGCCTTTACGATATCAAGGACTAATGTGATTATGATAGGATTCTAGGAAGGTAACTGTATTGGAAGGAAAATGATATCTTAATAAGATGAGAAATGAAATTGCAAGCCTACAAAAAATGGTCAAGATATACAAGATGCAACTACAGACATAGTAATGGCAGGTGTTAAATGATTACTTTAAAGGAGCTAAAACCATCACCTGTTCATGTGATTGTGTATGAAATTTGCACAAAAAGAAAGGGGCAGACACTCAAAATTGAGCAATGTTACTATTACCTATGTTGTCATTGTAAAATGGCACACTTTGTTTCTAAATTTACATGTAAAAATTCTCCCAGGCGTCAAAAATAATAATTTGATTCAAGATGATCAATTACATGGAGGACAAAAAGATAATAAATAGACAAACTGAGCTGTACCCTCTCATGATGCCATGACCATGCAAAAGGTCCGGCAAAGACATATTGGCCCACATTGTACCAGAAGGTCGGAAATGTGCTGAGACCTCTTGTTCCTTCAGTTTCCGTAACCTCTCAAGTTCTTCCTTCAGTTTCCGTAACCTCTCAAGTTCTTCCTTTAACTCTTCAGCTTTATTCAGTTTTTTTCCCAAGTTCCAAACCAGAAGTCAACCCTTCCATACCATAAATGTCATATATCTTCCTTTTATTCTCATCCAACAGTATCTCATAAGCACAGGATACCCGCTGAAAGTTTTCTGTAGCAGTATCTTTCATCTGAAAACAAATATTGAATGATAGTACTACTCAATTACCACCTTTCATGAAATTAAATTCAACAGCCAAACAAATCTAACATTATTGTTGCCCATGCCAAAGACACTTCCATGAAGTTCAAAATTCATAAGCAAATCTGCGCTGTATTTGATTACAGTACATTACTATAACAGACAAAACCCAGTAGGGTAGGTTTCAAGTTTTAACCTTAACCAATGAACACCAATGCCTTTGAGAGCACAAGACCCATCAAGTTTACAATCAAACAGCAAACTTTAAGAATCGTTCTAAGCTGACCCAATAGAACCAATGCAGCATTTCAATAACCAAAATCAATGCCACCAAAAAAAACATATATTGGTACAACGGAGAAATTGGGTATCGACCCAATAATGGAAAGATTCAGACTTTTAACATTTTAAAAATTAAAATTTGGAAAAAAAACATAAAGGAATGGAATTGAGTTGCGGGTGAGAGCGTACATGAGGAGCTTGGCATTTATCAGGATGATAGATTTGGGCCCATTGCCTGTAAGCTTTTTTGATTTCTTCATCGGAGGCATCCGGTGAAATGTGAAGCAGCGCGTACAGCTCTCTATCGGGGGGTCCTTCTTCCTCTGCCTTCATCTTTTAACTCTCTATCTCTCTCTCTCTCTGTAGTAGGTTAAGGGACGTGCTGAAAGTGGCAGTTTTTATTTAACCATGGCATTTGAATTTAGGGGTTTAGGGGTTTTTTGGCCAAAGCCTGGGTCTTCTTTGTTTGTTCCTTGATCTTATCAAACAGTACACTGTGCACGGGGGGCGCTGTTTTTGCGCTTTCCTTGACGCGTACGTAAATTTTCTTTCAGAAGAAAAAAAGCTTATGAAAATTCTTCTCTTTTCTGGGCAACCTTTCCCAAACATCTTATGTGAAATTTATATTTATTGTTTACAAGGCTAGTATTGTAATTGAAAAACAAAGAACATTAAAATAAAATAAAATAGGAGAAACCCGGGAGAACACCAGAAAAACTGTACATATATCTTTGGGAAGTGGGAAAATCATATATAATCGATTGATTACATCGAGCATGTGATTATGTAATTAAGTATATAATAAGATATCTTCTTAAGTTGTAATTATATGTTTTGATATAAAACTTCACACTTATCAATAGGTGATTAAATTAAGGACAATAGAAAAGCACGTCGTGAGAGGATGATACACACTCGGATACGTGTATTATTCAATGTAGAGCATAAACATGGTAAGGCTGAGACAATTTAATCATGTTTACCAGCTCTTAGACAACATCTTCAAATTAATTACAATTAGACCATCCTAATTAACTCTTGAGTGCTTTGATATCCATTGGGTACACTGGGGAAGTAGAGATATCGATGAAAATTGGTTTTATAATAGCTCTTCGGGGGGAACTTAAAGAAAAGAAACAAATTGGACATCACAAGAAATGGTATAACACTGTTTCTAGTATTAACAATAAAAAAAGGCGGCCTTTATTTCTATTCTTATCAAGGTATAATACTCGAGGAAACAAAATTCGATGAAAAAGATAAAAAGGAGCGGTTGTAATGAAAAAAAAGAGGTGGAAATCCAATTAAGATGCCTTTCCATTGGGGACAAAATTTAGGTTTCAGAGGCTTGTAAATACATTCAAAACTGTGATAGGTAAAGGTAAGCGAATGTAGCCTAGATTTAGACATAATGAAATGGGAATCAAATTCTGTGCTCTTCCTGAGGTATTACCAACTTGTCATAATCATCAACGGTAACCTGGTACAAAAGTTTCGAATTAGCCATACCGCAACAGTACTTCAGGATACTTGTGTTTTAAACAGTAGAGGATTCTGAGCTAAAAACAAAAGCAAAGGGTATCGTAGTACCTCATATCTCCCGTCACCATAAGTGTATTCCACGTACAACTGTTTAGGCTCTCCAGGACATGGATCACAGAAGCCCATAATACCAGACTTCTTTACGCCTTCATGAAGCTGCCAGATTAAATTGAGCACCCATAAGTCTTAGGAAAACTAAGGAACAATTGTTTCTAGAGTTGAAACTAATTCTAATTACAGTAGGCTGCAAGAATGAGTTCTAATTCTCTTCATGAGCTAGAACCTGACCCTTGCATTTCTTTTTTCGGTTAAATAGTAAAGCATGCATTCTTGTAAATGCAATATTATCCTAATTTAGCCAACTTACTGCTTGTGAAATGCATTCCTAGAATGAAGATCAAACAAGCACTCAAAGAGTTAAGCAGTAACATAATTTTATAAAAAGAACAAACCTGCAGTTGTCCAGAATCGCTGACAAGGAAATTTAGAGGCAATTTAACATCAATGACCGGTGAATCATTTGATTCTACTGGTTCGTCTCTTTTCTTCAAAGCTTTGAGATTCCCATACAATGCTTTTGTGATTACCAGACCCCCTATTTCTAGCTGCTTATTTGTTTTCCTATTCGCTACATTCTGTAGTAACTTCTGAGCTTTGTCTGCTGCTGCTCTTGCCTCCAGAACCTGCAGATACAAGGTTTACAGATTCTTCCAAATATTCACACAAGGGAAATGGAAAACAAAAAGTAAAACGTTACAAATAAAAAATAGAAAGATATCATGTGAAGACTGAATTGTAATTAATACAAATTTATAAATAAACCCAATCCTAGACATGTATTTATAAAAAAACCCAAGCACTATTTAAACATAGAAACACACCCAAAATCAACCCCAAAGTCAACTTTTTGGGTGTGTTTATAAATGGGTTTTGAGTGTGTGTAATGATGGGTTTTGGGTGTGTTTATATGTTTAAATAGTACTTGGGTTTTTTTTATAATTTCAACCCCCCATTTTGGGTGTTTTAGTGAAACTCCCTAATATTAATTCAGGGAAGAATAATTATACAACACAATGAAGCCTGCAAATCCAACTGAAAACCAGGTGCAACATGTATCTCTCAGCATCTCACCAAGAATTGCAACAAAGCACAAAACTTGGTGCCCTAAAATTGCACAGATATTTTGCACTTATGGGTAGCCATACCTGTGCAGAAGTTTTTTCCTTATTCTCTAAAGCCTTCTGCTTTTCCCTCTTAAGGTAATAAGGTTTCAAAACGAATTTCTGCAAGCAAACAAAAATACACATAATCAATAGACAATATATAGAACATGCAATTCTCTGGTCAACTGAGCATAGATGATAAATTGCATCTTCAAGACCCTTGCCCACATATTATTTCGTAAATCGCTTCATGAACTTTACAAATGGGACCAACTTTAACAGTCCAACAATAGCTCAACAACACCAGCACATGTAAAAAATAATAAGGAGGAAATCCTGCCAGTTAAAAACCTAGGCTGTGTTTGCATAAGGAAAAGAAGAATAACATACGTGCTCTCTTGTTCTCTTCTTCCTTTACCGAAAAAAAGAAGAATAACGTACTCAAGGGCCAAAGTTAGTATACCTGTACTAACCTTGAGTACGAAGTAAACTGATGTTGGAATTATGAATGCTCCGGCTGCAAACACAGGATCCAAATGCCTAGAAAGCAAAATCTGCATGTAAAGCCATCAGCAACAGATCAAAACTTGTGAGGCCTAAACCCAGGTGATACTAACAATATAGAGTTGTGTTTCATCTTCTTTCCGAAAAGATATAAAAAGAGCAATCCACACATAACAAGAAGAAAAATTTCCAAAAATACACGTCAGATATCAAAATGCAACCTTAGTTTTGTATTTTCTAATCCAATGGCTCCTTAAACTCTACACAAGGAGCATTTCAAATCCTCAAATGCAAAAATAAAGAGGCACACATGCACATAAAAAACCTTTGATCAAATGTCAAATACAGATCAAATTTGCGTTCACATCTAAAATACACACAGGCTAAAATTAATGCTTACAGGAATGATTAACTTTTGGCCCCCACGGTGCAATTCGAATTTCCAAAATATACCCTGTCATAGAAAGGTAGTGTGTAAGATTGCAGTCACACTTTGAACATATAAACAAGTTAACCAGGAACTAACTGAAAAAGTGAATTAGTGTGTAAAAATAAATTTAAAGTGTCTGAACGAACTATAAACAATAGCCATTAACAAACAAAATTTAATCTCTGCAGATCATGTACGAAAAAATCCAACAAATTTTTTATAGTTTTAATTGAAACACTAATTGAAAAGTTATTCAATATTCTCTTAGACTAGGACGCCTAACAACCAAACATGTAACACAGCTAAATTGCTCTTAGTTAACTAAAATCCTCAAAAGACAAAATATAACATAGTAAGGGGTAAAATAGTAAAACAATATAACTAAAAAATGTTTATTAAAAAGAGAAAAATAGAATAATTATCACAAACTGCTAAGTTGAATTGCACAACAGGTTCAACGGTCTCCCTTTTTCTCTCATCGCACAAACGCCAGATTAACAGAGATAGCTGGGTCTCTTCACAAAAAAAATTCTTAAATTTTTCCTGAACTTTGCTTGGAAGGCAAAGCGCATAGAAGATCAAAGCCTTGAAGACGTCCAGAGATTACCAAAGGATCAAAATCATCCGAATTTGGCCAAAAGGTTATATTTTAGTTAGCAACTCTAAGGTTTTTTTCTTTTTCTTTTTGTTTTTCTTGATGGATTAATCTAATTAAGTTATTTTTACTTGTCTTTCAGTTGCTTCGTTCAAATCAGATATGAAGTTGAATTTTCTATGTGGACAAGGTTTGTCATGGGTTTTGCTGGAATTTTAGGCTGTGTGTGGAGTTATGTGGAGAGCTTTTGAAGATTGTGTGGTAACCTTTATTTTTCTTCAAACTAAAAGAAAACCTGATGTATCACTGCAGATATAATTACTTTAGATGTTTTCATAGTAGGTGTTTGCTGTTTTTTTTTCTGGTAGATACTTTAGCTCACTTCCCCTTTTTATGCCAATCTCACTATCACTATCTACTATACTGAACAATGAGATGCCTCTTAATTGGGATTTTGATTTCAGAAGGAATTTATCCGAGGCTGAAATAGCAGAAGTGGTAATACTTTTGGATATATTGGGGAAGGTGATATTAAATAGTTCTAGATCGGATCGGAGATCATGGGAAACTGAGGAGCAGGGTTCTTTTTCCTGCAAGTCTTTCAGGTCTTTTCTTCTCTCTACCATCAGGGATGTCTTCCCCCCTTTCATCTCAATCTGGAAGGCAAAGACACCTCCGAAAATTCAATTTTTCGTGTGGCTGGCGGCAAATGGCAAGATTAATACTTGCGATAGCATTCAAGGGAGGCAACCAAAGATGTGCTTATCCCCTTCTTGGTGTGTTCTTTGCAAAGAGAATTCAGAAAACATTGATCACTTGTTCATTCATTGTTCGTATTCCCTAAAATTATGGTGGAGGATGTTGGGTGCTCTCGGAGCGGAGTGGGTGATTCCTAAAGGGTGTTTTGAGCTCCTTAGTATCAATTTGAGGGTTTCGGGGAAAGGGAAGATAGCTGGAATCCTTTGTGATTGTCTAGTTCATGCTATATTCTGGAATATCTGGATGGAGCGAAATCGAAGAATTTTTCAGGATCATAGAGGAGTAAGGGTTGAGGAATTATGGGATAGAATTAAATTTTGGGCATCTCTTTGGGCTTCGGTTTCGGGGCAGTTCAAGGACTATCACTACTCTACCATCATGAGAGACATGATGGCAGTCTAAAGATGATTTTACTGAAGTTTTGTGTTTTTTAATTACAGAATTATTTTCAATCTTAGTGGGTCAGACACCCTTTATTTTAGTTCTTGTTGTTTGATCGAGGAGTTTTTCCTCTTGATTATCAATACAATGTTTCTATTCAACAAAAAAAATTGCAGTTATACTTTTGTGTTACATAACATTCTACAGAATCTTGGTATAGGGAGTTTTATTATTAGTCTTACTACTTAAACTATATTTTGTTGCAGAAGGAGCAAAGGAGTAAATTTACAAAAAAGTTCATATGGGAATTCGGTTTTCTCCACTTAAAGACTTTGGCCAACTGTTTACAAATTTGTGTTGTGCAAGTCTTTTTTCCTAACTTTATTTGCATCAAAGCATTTGATAATGAAATCTGCAAATAAGAAACAAGATCTACTGTGAAAAAGTAATGCCCATATATCCACAGTAGAAAGAATCTCTATTCATTTCAACATTTGCATTTTCTGATACTGTTAACACAATTTCGGTCACTGTGGTAAACTATCTTCTAATCTACAATATTAATAAATGATTAACTCTACCTCAACTTCTGTAATTTTTATTCATCACTTTTAGCATAACATTTTCAAATTTTATTCTCCATTATCTTTTATTCACATTCCTATTGAATCATTTCATGCTTCATTATTACTTTTTATCAATTTTGTAACTTTAGTTACACCAATTGTACCTCATATTTCATACATTCTCTAATATTGATATGGCTAAATAAAGGATATGTTGCAATGTATATACGCAAAAAAAAAATGTTTTCATATGTTACAAACAAAAAATATCACACACAGAGAACACACAATAGGAAAAGTCTTTTGACAAATAGAGTTACAACAAATAAAACAAAAAAACACATAAGATGCAGGGCGCATATGATTAAAAAAAGGCCTCTTTCTTCAAAAGGATTGCTAATGCAATTTGTGGCACTTTAGTCAAAACTAAACAATAAATAAATTTAGGCCAGGCGTACCGTGAGATTAAAAGGGAAATCTTCCTGCACACGTGATTTTTTATTTAAAAAAACAATGGTTTAAGAAAGGTTTCTAAAAACTCAAAATATCAAGTTAAATTGGTTTTCTTCGTTATTTCCTCTGCAAAGTGTTCCTAGAAAACTTAAATAATCACCAAGAAAATTGAGAAATTAAAAAAATCAAAACAACAACAACAAAAACACAATCCAATGAAAGAAAATGTTATCTGAATAATATTTTCCATGAAATAAATACAGCATAAAGCTTTTAAAAATTTATAAATTTCTTTCTGAATCACCTGAATTCCAATTGAATACAACATGCGAACAGTGCTGAAATTTGATAGCTTTCTCCCCCCACCAACTTCAACCTCAAGGGCATTGCTGCATCAATAATGTCTACAGTTAGAAAGCAATTGCAAAACCGCATACGTATGAGCACTTATATTACCTAAATTGGTGTCTATATTTGGTTGACGACTATATCCTGCTTATATATCAAATTAATGTATCATAGACATTGCAGGAACATGGTAAGATATATAACTGGTAACTAAAATCATAGCCATAACATAGAGGAATCTTGCTTTGTTTGGTTGAGTAGAAAAAGAGGAACTATTGAACTCCCTAAACACCCAGAACAAGATTTTTCTCTGTAGTATGGTAAAAGTAAAAGAGAAGCTAAAACATGTATATTTGGTAACTAATCATAGACACTACAGTTAAACATGTAGTTGGAATGAAATTGAGTATGGAAAAATAACTTTGAGACGATGATTAATGATCAAGATAAACAGCATTTGCTGATAATTTATTATCACCCACCAAAAAGGTTTAATTAAAAACTATCCATCGAGATACTTAGAGCATACCTTCCAATTTTCCCCACAATACGACCATGAGACTTTGACGAAAACCGATGATTATAATGAGCTGATGCCGCAAAGGAATCTATGCCACACTATAGAAGTAAATAAATGAAGTTGAAGTGAATTATGTACAAATTAAGTTTGATTTCATAAAAGGCAGTAATCATGTTCAACTAAGGGGTCACTGAGAAGTGAGAAGCTTATAACAAATGAAACGAAGTAAAAACGTATTGCATGTAGACAGATCAATTGAATTTATAACAACTAACAGAATGCTGAATATAAAATTAGAACAAGGCAGGGAGTGGTCCATAGCAATAGAAGATTTGTAGACCGTCCAACAAATGATATGTCTCCAAGGTATTCTACTTTTAAACTATGTCCCAAATATAGATGTACCTTCAGCTCCCCAGCAGCAGACAATTTCTGGTTTTTCTTTCGCCATCCTACTGAAACAGCTGAGTCTGAACCTAAAGCAAGCTGTATCTGTTAAAGAGAAGGTGGTCCCACCCCAGGGCAAATGAAAAGACAAAAATGTTAGCCATCTCAAAAAATTTAATACGAATATACTAATAGGATGTGTACTCTATTTTTTGTTGTTAACAAATTACATACGACTAGATCATTTACAATCCTGTTGGGCTTTACCACTTGGTAGACTTTTCATTCATCTTTTCCCTCCACAAAAACACGTCCTAATGTGTAAGATCTGATGTGTTCCATGTTACAAATAGAGTATATTTGCACAAACATAGTGATTTTGACGTCCGATGCATTCATGACTTCAAGCATATTCCACTATTTCTATAATTATTCAAGTACAATATGTTCTTTCTGATGTTACAAAATACGAACGATACCCAAAAAAAAAATATAGAGTCAACTGGAACAAGAAATGCACATACATTACCACTTGCAGTTTCAGATAGTTGTCGCACCCAGGTATTGGAGAGATTCAGTGAACCATCCCTCAAAGACATTGAAAGTCCCATTGTTGCAGTTAAATGCGATGATATGTTACTGGACAAAACAAACAATGAATATGTAAAGAGGAATTAACGTACTGAAAATTCAAACCGACTCGTATCAAATGAGATAAGCTCACCGAGATGTCTGCACCCCAATAAGTGACCGTAAACCAGCAGAACCTATGAATTCTATTGAAGAAACTGAAGAAAGCCGATGCCCAAAAACTATAGTAGCAGCTCCACCGCCAGAATTCCCATTAACTGCCAAATTTCCACCAATTGAAAGGGTATTGTGCTTTGATATCTGAGACTGGACTGAACTTGTCATAGCCATCCTGACATTTTTTAATATCAAATCAGTGTCCAGATAAAACAAATGGAACTACGATGTAGAAGACTTAACCAAAGCATACAGCTACACTGAATATCATGCATTTATGATATGAAGGATCAATGTGATTATAATAGGATTCCAGGAAGGTAACTGTATTGGAAGAACAATGATTCTTACTAAGACGAGAAATGGAATTACAAGCCTACAAAAATGATCAAGAAATACGAGATGCAACTAGGTACAATCATAAGAACACAGACATAGTGATGACAGGTGTGAAATAATTACTTTAAAAGAAGCTAAAAACATCACCTATGCATGTGATTTTGTATGGCATCAACTATTACCTATATTGTGATTATAAAATGGCACCCTTTGTTTGTAAATTTACATTTAAAAATTCTCCATAGGAGGCAAAAAATAATAATTTGATTCAAGATGATCAATTGCATGAAGGGACAAAAAGATAACACATAAACAAACCGAGCGGTACCCTCTCATGATGCCATGACCATGCAAAAGGTGTGGCAAAGACATATTGGCCAATATTGTACCAGAAGGTCGGAAATGTGCTGAGACCTTCTCTTGTTCCTTCAGTTTCCGCAACCTCTCAAGTTCTTCCTTCAACTCTTCTGCTTTATTCAGTTTTGTCCCAAGCTCCAAACCAGAAGTCAACCCTTCCATACCATAAATGTCATATATCTTCCTTTTATTCTCATCCGACAGTATCTCGTATGCTTGGCATATCCGTTGAAAGTTTTCTGTAGCAGTATCTTTCATCTGAAAACAAGTATTGAATGATAGTACTACTCAATTACCACCTTGCATGAAATTAAATTCAGCTGCCAAAAAAGTCTAACATTTTTGTTGCCAATGCCAAAGACCCTTCCATGAAGTTCAAAATTCAAACAAATCCGCTCTAAATTAGTACGTTACTATAACAAACACAGCCCAACAGGACAGGTTTCAACCTTAAACAATGAACACCAATGTGTTTGATTGAAAGCACAGGATCGATCATCAAATTTACAATTAAACAGCAACTTTATAATCGTTCTAAACACCCCCCCCCCCCCCCCCCCCCCCCCCCTCTCTCTCTCTCTCTCTCTCTCTCTCTCTCTCTCTCTCTCTCTCTCCCCAATGCGCAGTTCAATAACTAAATCAATGCCACCAACAAAAAACATTTCTTGGCAAAATAGAGAAATTGGGTATCAACCCAACAAGGAAAATATTCAGAATTTTAACCTTTTTAAAATAAAAAGTTCAAAAATAAAATATGAAGGAACATAATGGAGTTGCGGATGAGAGTGTACATGAGGAGCTTGGTATTTATCAGGATGATAAACTTGGGCCCATTGCCTGTAAGCTTTTCTGATTTCCTCATCGGAAGCCTCCGGTGATATGTGAAGCAGTGCATACAGTTCTCTATTAGGGGGTCCTTCTTCCTCTTCCTTCATCTTTCTCTTTCTCTCTCTCCCTGTTTCTCTCTGTGTTGTCGGTTAAGGGTTGTGCTGAAAGTGGCGGTTTATATTTTACGGTTTCTGGTATCAGACGATGGCAGTTGAATTTAGGGGTTTTTGCCAAAAGCCTGAGTCTTGTTCCTTAATCTTCTCAACCATGTGTGTGCGCGAGGACGCTGGTTTTTCGCTTTACTTGTCGGGTCCAAAATGTACTTGTTTTATGGGCCAAGTTTAGGTACTAATCCTATTCGGCTTTCTTCTACCAAAACAACCCATTGGGCTTTCACTTTGATGGCCACGTAAGTCCAAGGCCAGGCTCGGAAAAGTGGCATACCATATTGAACTTTCAGTAGACCGAACGGCTATTTTATAAATTAAGGTCCATTTCGGCATTGCTATGGTGTGAAAATAATCACTGTCAAATTTGCTGTGCGATCAACTATGAAATAAAGCAATTTGGCGTTTGGTAAATTTTTTTATTAAAAATGATTTTTGATACAATAATCAATTTTCAAGGATTTGGTAATTTTTGTGTAAAACTATTGTGAGCTCTGTATAATGACGAAAAATAGCATTATGTTGAAATGACTTTTCCATTCAAGTTTTAGGTTAAAAAATAAACGCACTTTCACTTTCACTTGTATAATTCTTATGTTAAATATGTTTCTTACTTCCATCACACCCTAAAAATGATTTTAATCGTAAAATAAATTAAGTTTCATGTTGAAAATTAAATATTTTTCTCCAAATCCTCTAAACTATTATTTAAAATTAAACCCAACATATTGCATTAATGATAAATATAGTTTCTTGATGAAATCAATTTTCTTTAACTTCTGTGAGGATGAAGATTGAACTTTAAAAAATGACAATAAAATCAAACCCTAAAAGCTAATGAGAAATAGGAAGAATAAAAAATGAAAAATTATAAGAAACGAAGCCTAGACTAAATTACATGGTCATGGAAGAAGCACACCAACCGACAATGAAAGAAACCTAACAATTGGAAGAAGAAGAAGAGAAGGACGTGCACGCATAAAAAGGGAAGGACATACCCAAAATAAGAAAAGAAAAAGGGAAGGACATTTTGTGTAAATTGTCAAAAGAAATGAGGGCATGTTGGGTAGTTTGTAAAAATTCAGTAATGCCCAAATCGGTCCCCAACTGATTCTCAAGGAAGTGGAAATAAAAAGCACCTTCCACCATGATTCTCCAAACTGATTTCTTCGGCAGCGATTTTCACAAAGAACTTATCCATCCTTTTACCAAACAGACAGACACACGCTTTGCTGTCAAACAAAGTGATTTTTATCAAAATAATCAATGCCAAATGGGCATTAAATTTGGAGCCTCAAACTCAAAAACATATATAGGAATCTTATCTCATAGGGTCATAGTGTAAAAGTTCTCAAAAAAATTTAAGATGAAAAAAATATTGAAAATGAAACGATAATAATTTCATTCATAATTCATGTCAAAAACTACATTACAAGCTACAATTGTCCACGACTAGGTTTATTATTTTGAAAACATAGAATTATTGCTTCATTTTCAATACAAGCAAAAACATTCCTCTCAATGTAAACAAACAAGCTATCACTCAATCATTGATCCCTCATTTTGTTCCGAAGTGGACCCTTAATAATATTTATGACAGAAAATGTCCTCTCGACTGAAGCAGTTGCAACTGGTAAAACTAACGTCAATGTAATAAGCAAATACACATAATTGAATTATCGATGCATCCTTGTCTCCACCATTTTTTTCGCAAGACCACCAATACCTTGTAATTAAGAGAAATCATTACTCGAACACACATGATGATAACGATTTGTCTTTATTGAAGCATTACATCTTGACCTCCCTGGAAGTATGAATCTCTCATCCATGTTAGGCCCAGTTTGGGATTGCTGTCACTTTTAAAGAAGTTGCTTATGCTGTACTTTGAAAATAATTAGGTTTTTTAGGTTTTAGACATAAAAAAATTTTCACTTTTGGAAAAAGCCAAAGTTTTTTTAGAAAAGACAAAAAAACCGCTCAACTTTCAAATCAAAGACATGTAAATGTATTGGATTCCTTAGGAAATCTAAAAATAAATAAGGGCATTTTTGTCCATTTTTGCTTCTTATAAAATTTTTCTCTCTCCTTTTGCTTTTTCTAAAATGTCCCAAAATAATTAGCTGTAAAGTAAAGCGGCCCCATGTTTGGTAAACAACATTTTTAAAGTGTTGTTAGTACAAAAAGCAGTGTCAAAACCATTTGGTAAATTTTAATATAAAATTGTTGTAACTGTGAATAATGACTAAAATAGACATAATGTTAAAAGTGTTATGTACTAATCATGTGATGGTAGTGGTAATGATGGAGTGGAGGTAGTGGTGGTGATGAAGGTGGAGTTGGTGGTTATGGTAGTGGTAGTGGTAGTGGTGGTGGTGGTGGTGGGGATGGCGATTGTGGAGGTGGTGGTGATGGTGGTAGTGGCAGCATGGTGGTAGTTGTGGTGTTGGTTGTGGAGGTGGTAGTAGATATGGAGGTTTTGGAGGAGGTGGTGGTTGTAGTGGTAGTGCTACTGGTGATGGTGGTAGTGCTGATGATGGTGGTGGTCGTGGTGGTCGTGGCTGTGGCGGTGGTGGAGGTGGAGGAGGTGGTGGAGGTGAAAGAGGAGGTGGAGGTGGTGATTGTGGTGGTGGTGCCGGAGGATGAGGAGGAGAAGGATGTGGTGATGGTGATGATAGTGGCAGTGGTTGTTGAGGTAATGAATGTAGTGGTGCAAGTGGTGGAGTTGGATGTGGAAATGGGGGTGATGTCATTTTTTAAAATGAATGATGGTATTTTGGGAATTAAAAAAATTCATTAAAAATTAATCTTTGCTTCTTTTGAAAGCAGTTTTAAAAAGTAATCCAGAGCCTGCTTTTAAAAGCTGCTGTTAAAAGGCCACTGCTTTTAAAATAATCAGGATATTTTATTTTTACCAAACACTTTAAACTGCTTAACTTTAAAATGAAGCAGATTTTTGACCAAAAAAAGCAATTCCAAACGGGGCCTTAGAAACATCAATATGATGTTCGTCACAAAAGGAAGATACCTCATCAGTCAATACATCAAACTCATTATTCATCATCTAATGTAACTTTTCCTTGCATGATTTCACTAAAGCCATTGCATTTACAATTTCTTGATATTTCGTTTGCAATGCTTGTGACACATCATTTGTGAGTTCTAATAAAGCTTTCATCAAGAATAAATGAAACACAAACTCAAAAGTAAGCATTTATCTCATTAACTTATTTGCTTCACTGACACTATCATTGGGATTATTATCAATAATCATTTGAAGCACATGAATCACGAATGAAAACATAGAAATGATGTTAATCAAGGTATCATAATATGAGTTCTATCGTGTGTTACCGGCACGTTTGAGACTTGTTTCTTGATGCTGTAGGGGCTTTTTTCTTCCAGCAGCTACAAACGGCTGGGCTGCCGTAAAGGGCAGATGGATGAAATTGCCCCTTGAGCCTGAGTTCGAAGATCAAGCCCCAAGAATGCTTCGAAATGACAGAGATGCCTTAGGAAACACTTTCGTTACCTTCACCAATGAAAATAACAGCAGCTTACAGATGATTTCTTGATGCTTACAGATAAATTTTCTAGCTTGGCATGAGAGGCTTATGGCATGGAAGCAAAATCAGCATGAGTTTAGCACCAAAGAAGAAAATATGGCTTCCTAAGGAGAAAGGGGAGTGTTTAAGGTGAGGAAGAAGAGGTTTGCAAGCTGATTTGACTGAGAAGAGAGAAAGAAAGAACAATGTTCTTCCAGCAGCTTGACGAAGCTTCTGACAGATGTGAAAGTGGTCTGCCAGAAGAGGAAAATGGAGAAGAATGGTGAATAATGCACGAAATTGCTGGGTTTTTGCAGGTAAGAGAGAAAGCTTGCTCTCTAAATTTGAGTTGAGTTTTGTTGGGTAGAAGATGCCTCATTTTATAGCTTACTGGAAATTATCATTTCCCAAGAAACCCTAATGGTTTCTTCCCAACTTGGCCAAGCTTTTTCTTCCTTTCTCCTCTCCTCCCTTGACTTTTCTATTTTGGTGAAATTTCCTCTATCTATTTGCACAAAATCAAGAATTTTGGGAGCTCAAGGCTCCCTTTCCCGCAGCTGTTTCAGTGGGAGACTTCCATTCCCAACCATCTCCTTCCTTTTTTTTCTTTCCTTTTTCCATGGCTAGGTCTGATGGGGGAAGGAATTGGGGTATGTATGCTGGTTCGAAGAGTGCTTCTCTTCTTGGCAGCTTGCACGTTAATATCCCTTGGTTCTTCGGGTGTTTTGTGCTTGGAACTTGTTCCTTTTCAGCAATTCTGCATATGTGGACATCTCCTTCGTGGCTTCTGTTTTTTCCATCAAGGAGCTGAGGCTTTGGCTTCTTCTCTTTTCTAATTGTATGGGCCTTCTAAGATAATGGATTGGTTTGTCAAAATAAATGGGCTAACCTTAACAAGTGTTTGACTATTTTTGTTGAGGTGTTGGGCTAATTTGGTTAAGCTAATGGGTTATTTCCTCTTTTGTGCTCACCCATATGTTTGGACCTAAGAAATGAGTTTGAGTCCCAAGGCTCCCAAACAACATGAGACTTCCATTTCTCGGCCCATCAATGAGCCTCATATTGATTTATTACCATCCATATCACAACCCACTCAAGTAAATCCCGGATATTTGAGTGGCTTGGGGCCCACTTAAGCTTGTGGCGTGATTAGGTGCGGAATAATAATTCCTTGCTTGGCGTGGCGTATCGCTTGGCGTGGCATGTGTGCAAGCGCATATGATGAACTTTCGCGTGCCCAAATTGGGTTTCTTCTCGGTAAGGTATCGCATTAGGCAGAGAATTTATTTGGGCCGAAGTGTGGATTTTTTTTTGGGCCTCAACAGATGCAATTCTCCCCCAATTATAAGACAATCATTTTCAAAAGCTATCACAAGCTTTTCTTGGAATTGAGCTTTAAGTGCATCACGCCGCTTACAAAATGCTCCAATAACATGGTTAACCACACTATTAGCCGTTGTGAAAAAATAGGCAATGTCAATATTTTTCTTTTGACATAACAACAAGTGCTAGTTAAAGTTGATGAGCAAATCAATGAACATAATATGCAGTAGGTTGTTCTCTCAAAATCTTTATTTTAAGGTCATTCAACTCACCTCTCATATTTTTAGCTCCATCATAACCTTGTCCCTGTAACTTGGAAAGGTTCAAACCAATGGAAGAAAAGAATGTGTTAATGGCATCCTATAGTGAACTTGAAGTGGTGTCGATAACATGTTGGACCCCACACATCTTTTCATTACATGCCTTTTGTCGTCCACATAACACAACACCATAGCTATTTGCTCTTTTACTGAAATATCACATACTTCATCCACCAATATAGAAAAGAATCCATCTCTTAAACCACTCATAATAACATCAAATGTTTCAAGGGCACATGAATTGACAATATCTTTTTGAATGCAATGAGTTACTAACTTGAGATTCCCCGGAGTATTTTCTAACACAATTTCTTTAACTTTCTCATTATTATTTGCAAGGAATTGCAATAACTCCAAATAATTTCCCCTATTAATTGAAGTAACACTTTCATCATTGCCATGAAAAGAAAGACATTGTCACAAAAAAAATGCATTGCCATGAACTATTTTTTTTTTTTTGGTATGCGGTACTGCCAATTTCTTTTTTCTTTTTTTTTTTTTTTTTTTTTTTTTTTTTTTTTTTTTGTGTGTTTTCCTCCAACAAAAATTAAGAGGAATGAAAAGCCCTAGATTGCTAAGTTAATTAATTCCAAATTGTTGTCTAAGAAATTGAGGAAGAAAAAACACCAATTCATTACTAATTAAGACCAAAACAAACCAAATTTCGTGATACATGTCATAATTGGACGCATTTATTTTCTAAATTATCATTTAAAGATCAAATTTGCAAAAAATAAAATAAAATTTAAGATTGTTTAGACATCCATATGTATAAACTAAATAGGCAGTTCATCATAAGGATCTTAATTGTACTAAAAGCGTCTTTTTTATATACAAAAGGATTACTAAATGACATCCAATTTAATTGACTTTTTGCATAAATATTCTTTAAATGGTAATTTAGAAAATAAATTATTCCGATTATGATATTTGTACCGAAAAAGGTTCGCCTAAATGTGGCCTCATACAATAATTTCTCTTTCGCTACATTAAAGACAAAGTTCATGGACTTATTCGGTGATTTTGTATACGATTCCCTCTAAATCTAGTTTTAACATCTTCCATTTTTTTTCTTCTGGTTTTTGTATAAGCTTGTGAGCCACATCTATGATGCTTGGTCCATATATTTTCAGTGATGAAATCAGAAACTCAAAGGAGATAAGAAGATTGAACGAGCTGAATGTATATAGATTTTCCATTTATTGCATTGCCGCCAAAGAATTGAATCAACTAAAGACAAGGCCAAGCATGACATGAGAAACTTCTTGGAAATTTCCAATACCAAACCAATAGGCCCTACACTCGGTATAATATGGTTGCGATTCTGCATGCAAATCGTGTAAAAAAAGTAGCTCCTCATAATGTCATGATGTTTTTTTTATTGTTAATTACTATGTGTTTATATTTAAGTCATAATAAATTACATAAATAAAAGTATCATTTTCAAATAAAGTCCTTCACTTTTCTTTTATCCATCGGAAAAAGAGGGATATTCGAATCGGGAATCTCTTCCAATATTGAAAAGAGAAATTCTACTTGATTAATAAATAATTGATTCGCTTTTAAATTATTATTAAGTTATATGTACAATACCAAAAAACACCCAAGTTAAAATAGGAAAAAAAGCTTCCATTATTAGAAAGATGGAAAATTATTGTTGGAGGTGGGGGATACTCAAATTCATGATAGCAATGGAAAATTTTTGTCCTGGGGGTATGGAATAAATGAAGAAGAAATTATAATAATATTCGACTCCTTCGGTATCCTCGACAAGTGTTATAGAGCTGGTACTTTGATTGGGACACACGGCGGATACATATTCATCATCATAAGACAGAGACAACTCTTCATCGTTTTTAACAGTTTTACTCATATCAAGTAAAATGGTAACTAAAAAGTAAAAATAGAAATTACTTATGAGTGTTGCTATTTGTACCATATTTACTTATCGTATTGCTAATTATTATCATATTATAAATAGTTCTCGCATATATTAGTGAGTTGTTGCACATACTCTAGTTACTAACAGAGAAAGTGAAAATTGAAAGCTTGGGAATGTGACACATGTATTCTATATATACTGATGTCAAAACCAAAACCCATCATATTTCATTTCATATTCCCAGCTTTAATCTCCTGAAGCTTAGCTCCCATGGGTTTTCACACGGCAATTGTAGCAACCACATTGAAACTGAAAGCCCTCTCCACCTCTCACAGCACCCTAATGACCCCACTGCTCACTGGCTTGATCTGCCCTTTTGTGCTCAAGCTCTCTTTCAGCTTCGGCCTTGTTCATCAAACCTACTCTGACTTGATCCATCAGTCGAGGCTCTTCTTCTTCCAGCTCAACGAGATTGCAGCAGCTGACAATTTTGATGATGATCTTCAACAGCAGCAGCCAGCTGCTACTAGATTGCAGCGAGCTCTGATGCTACTGCAACAGGCTGTGACCCATCAAAGAAACTCACAGGCGTCGGAATTGGATGAGCAGAGCATCCATGACCTCGCCATGGTTGCTCTTTGAGCTCCTCTGCATCTGCATGTACATCTACCTTACTGGGTGAGAATCTATAAATAAATATGTGCCTGGCTTTTTTCTTTCTTGTTTCTTTTTCTTTTCTGGGTTTTGGTTGTTTTTTATTTTTTCTTCTTTTTTGGATGTAAAACTGGACCGAGTGGGAATTAAGATGCTTAATTACTAGTTTTATGCTCTGTGTGAATCAAGCATTAAATTAATTAGTAATTAAGATGCATATCTGGTGAGTAATGTTTTGCTTTGTACCACATTATTACATTTAGCTGACCAGTTTATGTAAATTAAATTTAAGAAGCTTAATTATATCCAAAGAAACAAAAACAGAAAAAACTAAAATAAAATAAAATAAAATAAACTAAAAAAAAAAAAAATTCAGAAAGATCAGAGAGATTACATTTAGCTGACATGAGTTTCTATCAAACATTAGACAGATCCGTAGAATTCCTGAAATCTAAAGAAGGGGGATGAGAAAGGCGGTGCGGTGGCACCGAAAAGATAAAAAGTTGAGAAGGTGAAGGCTAAAAATTATTATAGATAAGAGTCAAGACTGATTTGATTTGATTTGATTTGATTTAATTTAATTTATAATAAAAGAATAAAAACTTGAGTCGACATTCCTAGAGGTGTCACGAGAAACATACAAGTTGTCACGTCTACGGTAATAGGACATTAATAAGAGGTTGTGCATGAATAACACCTAAGTTGTTAGGTCATTCAATCAGTTATATGTGGTCATAAGTTACCATGCCACCTCAAATAAGAGGTCACACTTGAATAACATGTAAGTTGTTACGTCATTTGATTAGTTATATACGGTCATAAGTTGCCACACCATGTCATTTGACGACAAATTTTTGTCTCCTCCCCGTCCTAAAAAGCTCCCCCATCAACTTCTAAATATTTGCGTTTGGTTAAATCATGTTCTTCATTTGGTAGCTCTTCGGATGTTGGAAGATAATAGATCTTTTGGGATTTCTAGAGGATCCTGTTTCTACTTAGAATAAGAAGCCAAGAACAACTGATTTCGAGAGAACTTGCTTATTAGCATGAGACACAAAACTCTCTACCCACCCATTGAATTTGTGTTGTCCACTTTCGTCAGGGGGTTCTACATGGAGGGCGGCCCGGCCCAAAATGTTCCATAAAAAATGAAAAGGAGTTAAATATCTTTAGTCCAGCTCAAAATTTAAAGTCAATCAATCAAATAAAAAGCTGCCCCACCTAGATTCTCCCATATTATCTACGATTAACTACATTTTACATTTTACTCCTCTTTCTCGTTTAGTTCATAGAACGGATTTGAGGAAATATTACTTCCCATGTCATTTTCTAAACGATGGGAAATGAAAGATTCATTTTTCATGTTTGGTAATGCTGAGAAAGTAACCGGGAGTTATCACTTTATTTTCTTTCACATGTTTGTTTCGAGCAAGGTCTAAAATATCGATGGTTTCGGAAATATCGGTGGTCCGAAAACACAGAATTTCAATAGAAATATCGGGAAATTATCAACATCGATAAAAATTGAATAAAAATCATGGAAATTGTAAGAAAAACTTGAAAAATTTTCATAAAACTTTGGAGGATGTTTATTTAATCAATTATAAAAACGTTGTAAGGAAATGCATTGCATGATGAGTTTAACTGATTTAAGTTGATATATAGCGAGCTGACAAACACTATGAGTGTAGAAAATATGTAGTAATTAATTAAAGAAGATTAAACACATAATAATTTACTATAATATTTTAGACTTTAAACATTGCATGATAAAATACATAAGTGACTTAGTACCAATGGCGGAGCCAGGATTTCACATTAGAGGGGGCCTTTCACAACATTTTTAAAATAATTCAAATAAGGGTCCTCAAGGGTTAATAAGTTAATAATATCATTTCATGCTTAATTAATAATTGATCCATTTATTACAATCATAATTGTCCTAAATTTCATATTTTTGAATATTAATCTCATCATCTACACTATTAAAGACTCAAAATTTAATAATTTATACTTCAACAGAGAGAAGAAATACAAAAAATGTTCATAAATCCTAATATTAAGATACCCTACTTAGACATGTAAAATGGGGGGAAGGAGAATTCACAAAGCTTAAAAAAAAACAAAAGAGGAAAAAAAAAAAAAAAAAAAAAAAAAAAAAAAAAAAAAAAGTTTTTACTCCAAGAAGCAAACATATAAGTAAAAATATGAGGAAAAAAAATAAAATGAGAGAGGGCTTGGGCCCACCCTGGTCCTTAGGTGGCTCCGCAACTGCTTAGTACCACGTAGATTTCATATATAAGGTTCAAATTTGAGTTATTTACACCAACACTCCCTGAGATTTTCGATTTTTTCACAAAACTCCTTGAGGTTTTAGAAATTATAAGACCACCCCCTGAGGTTTTAAATTGTTTTCACAAAACTCATTTTCATTGATTTTTCATCCAAAGATTGATAGTTTTATACACACAAAAATTCTCTAAATGACAAAGCTGACCTTTGAGATTAGATTACATATACTTCATTGCGGTTAATTTGTCATTTGCATAAGTTTTTTATTTAATGAAATCATCAATTTTTGGACAAACAATCAACGAAAAGGGGTTTTGTGAAACTAAACTGAAACCTCAAGAGGTGTTCGTGTAATTTTTGAAACATGAGGGGTTTTGTGAAAACACAAGAAATCTAAGGAAGTGTTAATGTAAATAACTCTTCAAATTTTTCATTGTCTTCATCATCTCGATATTATTGATATTATAAACCAGGTAATGCCCAAGGACATGTGGCAGCCACACAGGCCATACCCATAAGTCTCACATTGAAATATCACCCAAAGGTCTCCCATACGTTCCCCTATAATTAGGGTGCTTACTCTAATACATAGGTAATGACATTTTGAATACCATAATCATACTTGTTTTCTCCCTCCTTATATGACACAAGTATCGAAGAGCATTCGACTGGGTACCAAACCGGTGCCAAGGTCTTCACCTTTGTCTCCTCTTGTTTGAAGGTCACACCCTGCTAGCCGAAGGTACACTAGGTACCAAATGCATCCCATCTCTAAGTTAGGCTCAATCTAGACCATCCATTTTTTAGCATCAACAACTATTAATATTGTAGTTTTGACAAGTATTTATTTGTCTAAGTAGTCCATATTTTCAATTAATGAAAATTGGATTGATTCATATATTGGCCTCATAACACTTCTTTCTCTTTTTAAACATAATTATCTATTAATATTTTTGTAATGGAAAGGGTCGATGAACCTGATCCCCAATGAAGGCGGGGACATGGAATCCCCGATTTGATTAATGCGGGTAGGAAGACGAGGATGAAGGTAAATAGTTAACAGGGATGAGGTTGGAAATGTCATACACAACCCAACCTCGATTCGCCCCATTGTCATCCAACTTCATTTGTGACATTAATGACATACAAAGGACTAAGTCCAAAAGGGCAACAAAACTAACAAGCTAAAAAAACAAAACTAAAATGGACAAAAGTTACAAACAACTATTAGCCCACATCACTACAATTAAGAATGATCCAAAGCAAAGTCCACAAAACCCAAAATACAAAAACAACTCATAAGCCTAAATTAATGTCACCATCATCAATCCCACTACATCTAGACTTTAAGGGCTCGTTTGTTACACCTTCTAAGCTTGGATTAGACTAGAATTTTTTTTATATTTATTATCCCATGTTTGTTTTCACTAGTTCTAGTTTTAAGTGGGATTGTTAATACATGCCCCACCAAAAATAGCTCCTTAGGTGTTCTTAGTGAGACCCGCATGGAAAGGGGGGACAAGCCAGTTCTAACCTAAGTGCCTGCAACAACCAAGCGCCTGCCACAACCACCGACCACCCAAGCGCCATCCACAACCACTGACCACCCAAGCACCTGCAATTGATCCAAACCCCCACCGTCATAGCCACTCGCTATAACCCAATCCAGCATTGCAGTCAATTCCAGTCAGTTTTGGCGAGCACCGATTGGAGACGACGACTTCGCAGCTTGAATTATGGGTTGTAGACGATGACTACTGTGTAAACAGAGGGAGAAGTAGAAGACGGAGTAGATTGAGAAAAAGCAAAGAGAAAAATTTTCGAGAAAAAAAAACAAAGAGAAAAATATATTTAGAAGAAGAGGCAAATGAGAGAGGATAGAGAAGAAGAAGTAAGCTGCGGGAGGAAGAAGAAAAGAATGGAATGCAGAGAGAGAAGAAAAGTAAAAAAATTAATAATAAATTCACTTTAATATGTTTTTAAAAATAAAAAAATTATAGTCTTAGTCCAAGTATACACCAAGCGCAAGACAAGTGTTATCCAGCTTAGGCCAGGCCAAGTTAATCCAAGACAGTCCCTTATCATAGTTCATGCCAAGACAGTCCTTCGTACCAAACGAGCCCTAAGCGAATGCAAAACATGAGACGAATCTAAGGAAAACCTGATTTCTAGTAATTTAACTGTTGCGCCTAACAGTGAGCCAATTGAACAATCATAACATAAAACAACTGGGTAGATTGCAGTAAACTCCTTCAAATGCGAGGTATAACTATATTTAAAGAAGATGATAAGTTTTAGAGAGAGGGTTTCAGGAGAATTATTTGATTGAAGAAGGGAAACTTCAATATGAGCATGGTTCAAAAGAAATCACCACAATTGGCTTCTTATTTAAAACTCCCCAAGAGATTTATTTACTAACCCAAAAAAATAAAAAATAAAAGAGATGAAAAGGAAGGATGTGCAATGACGCTTCTTCCTTTTCCCCACTCAATTAAGTTTTTTCTTTGGAACTGTGAGTGAGAGAGAGAGAGAGAGAGAGTAGGGTTTTTGGTTTTATTTCATACGTAGCACACTTAAAAAAAGCTTTTATCAACCGAAAGTAGAAAGCATAGGATTATTATACTCGCAACAGTATTATGGCACCATAATTACTAGTAGGGTAATATAAAATAAAAAGGGCGGAGTGGGTGGGCAAC